AGTAAAAAATATTACATAAGTTGTCAGAGTCTTCGATCAAATTACAATAGTATCAAGTGAAGGTATGTAGATACATATCGGTTGTTCCTGTATTCTCTCTTTTTAGATGTGTGTGGTCCATTTATTTGTAATGTTAACATCGCTCAATGTGGTTGATATAAAAGTAATCTCATTGTCTTATTTTTTAAAAGAACTTTTTTTAAATATTGAAAAGTGTGCGCAATTAATTTCGACATAGTATTTCAGCAAAACAATAGCGATATGGCGAATCATCTTAGCGGCATATTTGCTACATTAAATTTAGAAAGAGATTGTCCAATAATTGAGAAAAATATTTTAATTGCATAATATTAGAAACGTGTAATTATTCATATATTATAATGTAAAATATTCCAACATGAAATCTTATACATTCAGCATGGTTAAATTTAAAATTGTAGTCAAACGGTTTTTAGAACGCATGTGAATCGATCTTTCATAAATGTTCGTCGAGCATTTGAAAATAATCGAATAACGTGTCTTTATTTGTTTCTTTAAAATGCTGCCAACATCTCATATATCAATTATATTCTTGAAAGAAAATGAATTATAAAATGTTTACACCTCAAATTAGATTTGTCTATGTTTTGACAAATATTATTTAGAAATTTTATTCTGACAAAACTGTATTGATGATGAATCCTCTTAGTACAATTATTAAAAAATTGTTATTAATTTATAATGTCTTATTGTGTATATTTTCATAATTTGCTTATCAGAACAAATAGCACAAAATATTCTACAGATGTTCTTGTAAAATACAAGTGTTCTTCAGTTTGGAATATTTGAATCGGATGCTCTGTAAATGTAGACAGAATATTAAAAATTTATATATTCATTACAAAAAGAACATTAACAATTAAAACAATTATATAAGACTCTAATAAATATAAATTTAAATAATAAGTAAACAAGGGCTATTCAAGTCGAGCTGGGAGTTTTTTAAATACAAACAATGTCAATAGAGATAAAATCATATGTTTCAACCTTAATTTAATACTGTCATGTCCTCAATATTACATACAGACTAAATATTAAATTATCGATAAGATTTTTTTCTACCCAGTAAATGAGAATAGATTAAAATGGATTGAAATTTTTTCTATCCGAATGGGTATTTTAAATAGCGAAGACTTTTTTTGGATTTAATTGAATTCAATCAGATTCAATTGGGTTGAATCTGGGAAAAACGGCGTTTCCTATTCAAAATTTTGAATTGAACGGTATTCACAACGCACAGAAAAAGCTGATATTATTTTCAGATTGAAAGGCATAAAGATATGCTCCATGCAATTCCTGTAAATGAATAAAAATGCATTCAGAATTGAAAAGCATTCATTTTAACATTCGTGAATCCATATTTCTGAAAATCTGAATCCATTTCAATCCATTTCAATCCATTCTCGTTTACCGGATAAACAAAAAAGTCAATTTATATCTTTATAACTTGAATGAAGTAATAGAGTGTTGTGCCCGGGAAAAAATATTTTATATATAATAGGTAATGAAATTCAGTTTAATCCCCATCCATCTCAAAAATCACTGAAACTAGGTTTATTCGACGCGTTTTTGTATGAAACGAAAGAATCTGGCAAAAAAAGCGTCGCTCTGCCCCATAAACCGAGATATTAAGCGTTAAAGTTGACTATTGAGGTTAGAAAATCTGTCAGCTCACAGTTATATAAATAAAACATATAAATAGTATTTATAGTCAGACCTTGTACTTAAGGTTTCCTTAAATTTATCTTTAAATGCTCAGTGACCAATGAAATAATTCGTGGAGTATCTGAAGATAAATTTAAGGAAGCCTTAAATATAAGGTCTGACTATGAATATGGGCATAAGACACCTGGTGCCTACATATCCGTGACACTGGTTGAGCTGTGACAGATTTTCTAATCTCAGTAGTCGCCAACGTTTAATATCTCGGTTCGTGAGCTACGCTTTTTTTTGCCAGATTCTTTCGTTTCATGCAAAAACGTGTTGAATAAGCCTAATTTCATTGATTTTTGAGGTGGGTTAAACTGAATAATTACCAATTTTATATATAAGTTTATATATAATTATGTTAATTATATATAAAACATTTTTTCCCAGGTGTAAGTACATATGTAAGTTCCTCTTTATACATTTAATTGTCAACTTGATTGTCCTGCAACGTAATTAACCATTTAGCGATTGATTCTTTCAGAACATTATTGAAATATTAATTCAAATTGTAATTCAGACGAAATATAACAGACGCGAAGATGGGCGATATATATAATATAAATTATGTAAAAGAAAACAAAAGCCAGTTATTTCTACAATAAACGTAATTTATGCTGGAATCCTTTTTCAACTATTCGCTTGAACAATTGAGTTCTAGGACATCGTTTCGAACAATTCATTCGAATTTAATCAAGTTCAAACTTTCGTACTTTGGACTGAAAGTCCAAAGTACGAAAGTGCAGCATGAGATCACGTAATATATGCTTGTGTATCCGTCTCCGTGTCTTAAGGCAAATATAGCTAAGTATTCCTCAAAATAACATAATTTCGGTTGCCGGTGCCAGTCGTCGACCCGAAATTAGCGTTAATCGGCCTTGTCGCTAGCTATCTCCGATTGTGAGAGCAAAGATCGAACTCACACCGGCGCACCTATCGATATCTTGTACCGGTCTGACACATTTATTTACATCCAGTGTCAGGATTCAATCAATTACTGATTCTCTTTCGTAACTTCACGATGCTCCCTAACGAATGATTCGCGTCTTGGAGCCGATATAAATCGTTCGCCATTGCCGTTCGCAATCTCGAACGTCCTTTTTTTTTTTACTCCGAATTGTTGCCTGAGGTTGTTCAATCTTTCTACTTTTGGTACTCTCTCGCGTTTCACGCGAGACTCCTAAACGATGATTTTGATGTGGACGTCGATTCAGAAAAACGCAATTATCTCGTGGTTTAAATAAATTAACTTGTCCGAGATTGCGTTGATTTAAACTCCTTCTTTCGACAGTTTCGATTTTAGAGTGAACACGTAATCACCTGTGCATTTGAAAGCGGAACTCGCGTTCGCGCGGGAACAGCGCGCGAAGGCGCCGAACAGCCTGCAGCTCGCCATAATTTTGATCGATCAGGTCGAACGGGCACTCACTCTCATCGAGAGGAACGAAAATCCTTGAGTCACGCGCGACACCGCGTGCGACGACACTCCGTCGTATCGTATGGTCGTATCGTATCTCGTCGGACTGCTAGGGGGTGCATTCAGTACAACTGCTCACTGAGCGCTCAGTGAGCTCTTGCATCTGATTGGCACATTCCGTTAGAACTAAAAATATAGACCAAACAGATACAAGAGCTCACTGAGCGCTCAGTTTGACGCATGCGCAATGGTAATAGCAGTGGTATGGGATCTGACATGGAGGCGGAGCTAATATCATAGAGATGTAGTTTAGAGGTCGCATAGTCAGAGTGGGGGGTAATCCTATCTACTAAAGGACTCATAAAAGTCCTACCTTTCTCTCTCGTTTCGCGCATGCATATAGCCGTATACTCTGAGAGAGAGGGGATTTCTTAAAATGTAGTGAGCACACTTTTGTATTAGACGAAATTTTATTTACTTTTAAAGCAATTTTCCATGCTCTTAGTTTATCCACTTGTTCCAATTTGCCGAATGAATTTGTTATGTTAACGACGCGTTCATTCAGTTTTGGAAATCTGTGGAAACGAAGCTAAATTTTTACTTGCTTTACTGTTACAGTCTCTCACTGCACAGTAATCAAAAATTTTTTTTTATCACGCGCGAGAAAAATTGCAGCCTCCATAATATTGTTTTTGTTATTTTACAGTATGTACAAGTTTATAATAAATACAAGCTAAATGCAAGCATAGAATATTTCTATTTTTCGGCAATAGACGGCGCCACCAAAAATGTCAGATCTCAATACGGGCCTAAGGGTGAAATCACACGGTGCGGAAAAAGACTGCGGAATAGAGAATGCGTCATTGAAGCAACCAATCAACGCTATTCAGCGCTAATCGGAATAACGCTGATTGGTTGCTTCAATGACTCATTTTCTATTCCGCAGTCTTTTTCCGCACCGTGATTTCACCCTAAGACCCGTATTCATAGTCGGGCCTTATATTTAAGGCTTCCTTAAATTTATTTTTAGATGCTCCACGAATTATTTCATTGGCTGAGTATCTAAAGATAAATTTAAGGAAGCCTTAAGGCCATCACACGTACAAAAATTTTAGACGTAATCGTAAGGTCGCAAGCAAATCGACCAATCACAATCAAAATTACGATCTCGCGTTTTAAAACGCTCGATTGTGATTGGCCGATTTGCTTACGGCCTTACGATTCCGACTAAAATTTTTGTACGTGTGATGGCCTTTAAGTACAAGCCTGACTATGAATACGAGCATAAAACTCTATTGTAAATCTGGGATAACTTCGGATCTACAATAGAGTTTTAAGCTTTAAGCCATAAGAAATGGACGAATCATAGTCGATTATTCTCCTCGAATTCGACTGTAATTGGTCAATTTCTTACGGCTTAAGGCTTAAAACACCTATTGTAGATCCGGACTTACGCCCGTATTTATAGTCAGACCTTAAGCTTCCTTAAATTTATCTTTAGATGCTCAGTAGCCAATGAAATAATTCGTAGAGCATCTGAAGATAAATTTAAGGCTTCGACGCTCTGCATCCAATCAGAAAACAAGATTCCGATAATACGAAGCAAAATTCATCGGCTGCGTTCAGCAGAACGTTTGTTTTGCAACTGTTGGAAATTTCCTTCGCGCTAATTGGATCATACTTTTAGATCTAGAAGAATGGTCCTATCTCAGCAGACAATCATAAAACTGTTGCAAAACTGTTGAGTCTGCTGAACGCAGCCATCGGAATCCTGTTTTCTGATTAGTTACAGAGCGTTGTACAACGAAAATCGGATGCAGTGTGAATCCAGCATTGCGCGGCTCAGATCTGGTAACACTGAATTAAACAGCGATTCCGAACCACATGATAGCTCATCGCAGCTCGCGATATCCATCAAGTACAGCGAGAGTTACCCGCCCATTGCAGGTTTATCACGCGTGTTGTCGATTACGGCAGGTAATTATCGCGTAAAAGTGAGTAATCTTAGTATTGGAGCGTGCGAGCTCCAACGCGGTTATTAGTAAACGACGGTGAACTCTGGTAGAAGTTACTGTGACGGTAACTTTCGTTTCTCATTTAGGCGTGATTGAATGTCTACTTGAGTCCGCCTAATAATTCTGTTCCATTTATATTTATACTTGCACAAAAATGATGATTAATTTACTTACAAAAAATCTTGTGTCTTTGACAGATAAAATAAACATGAGCAAGGATCATATTACATCGAAGGCTGTGTCACCTTTGTGGTAGAGTCTGTCCTTGTCTTTTTGTTGTCATAATTGATTATAAGGTAAGCAGAGAATTTAAGACAGATTGTATTTATAAATGAAAAGCACTGATGGTTTTGCCGCTGGCAGGCATGTCCGAGAATACTCACAACAAGGAGCAATGGCAGCTCCTACACAGTCTTCGATCTACCGTAGAGGGTCTGCTGATTGATGGGATGTCCAATGTGTGGAATGTTTATGGTGGTCTGAATCGACTGCACAGTGTAGTGGAACGGATATTCAAGCACGGCTGTCGCATATTTGATCCTAATGTTAGTTGAGTTTGTCGCTTCCAAAGTTTCTTTATTGAAGATATCTTAGAATCTCTAATTGTTATGATCTAAAACAACAATCTAAAACTGTCCAAGATCGGTGTTTTTTGGCTTGAAATCGAAATGTGTTGATATTCACACCTATTACCGTTCCTACTCCTTACTTCATTGCTATTTTATAGTAGCGTGCGACACTCAGTTCCAGGTACGACACTAGTTTGAAATCATTAAAAATTTTTAACCTGTCTTTCACTATGTTTAAAAGTATTCTGTTATTCATATTTTTATAGTTAAATGTATTATGAATAATAGTATCTTATAATATTAATAACAGAATACTTTTAAACATAGTGAAAGACACAGATGAAAAACTTAACGATTTCAGACTAGTGTCGTCCATGAGCATAAATTCTGATGATAAATTTCGTTTTCAAAGTTCCCGGCAAGTTCTCAGATAACATTTATGTTGCATAAGATATCTAAAAGACGATATCTTTTAGACGTCTTATGTCTAAAAGATGTCTAAAATACATCTTTTAAATATCTTATGTAACATGCATGTTATCTGGATTACTACTTAAAAGGTCTGTTCTTTATCAATGAATTCTTTGAACTGACGCACACTGACGTAATAAGTTGAAGTGAAACAAATATAAGGTCTATTTTTTGTAGCTGAACTAGTATATACTTTTGAAACTTAAAATGAGATAGATATATGTTTAGCACTTGGCGAAAGCGAGAAAGAGTTCTAGTACAGAGTGAGTTCCGAGTTAAGCATGAAGCGCATGATGCATCATTTGTCATTGTTATTCACCAAATAATAAAGAAGGATAAAACGATATATCATGCGCTTCATGCGTAACTCGGAACGCACTCACAGTCTAGTGCAAGAATAAAAAACAGACCTATAGTTTATTTCACTCATTAAGCCTGTTCTTTTTACCCGAACTTATTGCACGATTCATCTTTTCTCTTTTTCTCTCCAACGTGCAAAAGCTTTAGCTAAAAAAAACAGACCTATAGCATCGTGTGCACCAGTTCAGAGAGTTATTTGATAAAAAAAAAGGCCTAATGTTGTTATCATGAATGCATCGATTTGCTAACAAACACGGAATTAGTTGCTACAATTCTGGTAGCATCATATAATATAATGTGAGCAACATCTGGGTATTATCACAACTATAATAGCAAGCAACTGATAAAGGAGGGAACTCTATTATCCGAACCATACCGTTTTTGGAATGCTTTGTTCCTCGACATATTCGGATAAGCAGAATTCTACTGTATGTGAAAAAATTTTTCATATGAATCCATACAAATCTTATATTGTAAATAAATTTTATAAGGGTGAGCCGGATTGCTGGATATTCATTCAAGGACTCAATTGGCTTCAACCATCTTTGGCGACCTCACCAATATTGTCAGAAAACGAGGATTATTTATGCAATTTACCAGCTAGGATATCGTCCAAGAAGGATATGTTGTGGCTATACAAAAGGTAATTTTTTCTTTATTAAATATATAATAAATTATATATATAATATATATGAAATGCTATATTTTTGAGTGAGTCAATAAACAAAAAAATTAAATACTAATTTGCAGTTTAGAGGGTCATTCCTTATCACATAAATTATCGTGGCTTCTATCAGATAAGGAACATTTGCTTTCTTGTTTGGAACCATGGGCATTCCTTTGTCAAGAGAATTTGGCAGAGGCAACGCTTTTGTATCTACGAGCAGTTGAGAGAAATCAACCTGTATTACTCGCAGAAATCGATCCTTGCTTAGTAAGTAGCGTCTTAAAGTTATTTCCTCATTTTGTGCAATGCACATTTTGTGTAAATGCAGTATAGCTATTTTATACTAATTTTCATATGATTAATCTCTTTGCATTAAAATGAAAATTTTTAGAAATTTGAATTTAAACAATATTAAGTAAAAATGGACTGACGAGATTAAATGAGTGAAAAATGTTATATTATCGACAGTTAACTTAAACCTAAACTCACCTATTCGATCGCAAAATCTCATTTTGAAACCTTGGATTATATGTTAGTATTCACAGCAAATCATTATATAATTAAAACAAATCTAATTTAAACTCATTCCATAAGTTCGGAGTGTCGAATAAGTGAAAAAATTAATTTTGACAAAGGTCAGATACATAGCCTTAAGTCATAATAAATATAAAGTATATAATAGCAAAATGACATTGTGTTACAGATTTCAGTATGTCGCAAATAACTCCGCTCGCGTTGACTCTTATTAGCCTAATTAGGTTATATTGTGTTTTTTAAATATTAACATTATGAGAAGATATGTCCAACCATTAAAAAAAAGTACTTAGCACCGTTAGAGTGTAGGGACTGCTGTTCTTATCTGAAATCAAAAATTCAAAATGGAAACGTTAGTTAATGAATATACGCTCAACATGAACCTATTTTTAAGTTAAAAAAGACAAAAACGAAAAAAATAGTGACGTTCCAAAAAAAGATGTGTTTTAAGACAAATAGTACTAAAAAAATAATTGTTTATTTCAAAAACATTTACAACTTTTATTTTGTCATTTGAAAATATTTAGTAATATATAAAATTAACGATAATTATGTATAATGGCATAAGATATTGTTAGTTATCTTTTCATTTCATTATTTTAATCGTTTTACATATTATTATGAATAAACTGTCTTTTGACTAGGAAGTAGCGTGAGAATCTCCTTAGATTTTCGAATTCAGTTCTATGGCTTTGACATTTTGTTCTCTATGTTATACTATTGATTTTTATGAAAAAATATTTGTTTTTTTCAACCTTCTACATGAATTTCCCCCCTTAACTGAATATGGCATTTTTCACTCACATGTGTATTCGAATTTTAAAATAAAAATTTTCAAGATTTTGGAATTAAAAAATTCACTTTATTTAAATATAATATATGACGATACTATACATTATGGATTTCAATTAGATCATTTTTTTTCATTTTTATATTTTATTTGCAGTTTTTACCAACATGGATATCTCCTAAAATGAGCCCCAGACGACATCGTCGCTCGTCCTCGTACCCGGTAAATTTTTCTGGCGTCAATCATATTTTCGCGCGAGATAAGAGCATGAGTGTTCTCAGCAGATGTCAATTGGACAAACTAAATGTTTCGACACAGTCTGTGTTGTGCAACACGGACAGTGCTGAAAATCAAATTTCAAAATCCGTACAAGTTATCACTGACAATGACGCACAAAGGGATTCCAAAGTCGATGATGCACCTCTGAAAACGTGGAACAGTTTGCCCGCTTTGGCCAAGAACCATAGTAGCGCAATTATGGAAAGTTCAGCCCCAAATTCGCCGACAATTCAAGAAAATAGCAACAGCAACAATAGCAATAACCGAACTCGTACCATTGAATTGGCGGAGATCATCAATGTCAATTACTCGGATTCGAAACAGCCCGTTGATTCCAACATAGACAAGCTAGCGAAACCGAAAACTCCTATCAGGAAAATGAGGAATCGAACGAAGGCTAAACATAGTCGAAGTAAAAAGGCTTCCGAAAAGTCGGAGATTTCTTCAAGCGTACATGAAAAGGTCAAGGACATGGTTGAGGAGTCACGGCCAATCACAATCACAGAATCGGCAGAGACGAAGATGCTGCACCAATTAACGACACGTAAAAAGACGTCCTTCTTGGTAGGTTCGGCACCCGAGTTTACGGGCTCCTGGAGCTTGGAAGTAGAAGGTCAGAAAGACATTCGTACACCGCGGAAAAGTTTCATGGAGGACGGTGGCAGTAGCGTGCAGCCAATGGCAACCGGTTACTTTCCACGTCCGGCTGAAGGTCAGAGTTTAACTAGTTTCCTGTCTTCGGCACGATTTTCGCGCGCTCACGATGCTGAATTGGACCGCGAAAACGCGCATTTCAGCGTTTGCGAGGCGATGATTGCCGCCATCGAACAAGTCAAGTGCAACCGATTGCAGCGGCGTTTGCTGGATGACGTAGTCGACGATGAGAGCGACGAGGAGATCAACCGGCTGAAACAACGAATCCGGTTGCGACGTCGACAACGCCAGGAAGAAAAATGCCGAGGCAGACGTTGGAGTCGCGGTGACCTGTTGAGTGACGGCAGGACCGACACGACCACGACCACCGATCAGAGCGTCAGCCCGTTGTCCACGTCTTCGTGTAACTCCTCGGATAGTGTGTCCACGGAGGATTCCGAATTGGACGACGAGCAGAGGTTGAAGAACGGCGGTACGTCCGCGTCGACCGCGTTGTTGTTCTCGGACGCAGAATCGCGTGCGGCAAGATTTACGGATTCTAATGTGAGCGAGAATAGCGTGTCCGCTGAGGGGGTAGCTTTATCTCTTATTAGTCGCTTCAGTGAGAAACAGCTGCCAAGGGCGAGTGAGCTGCAATGGTTGGTTTCGGAGAAGGATGCACCACAACGCTTATTGCCGATGCCGAAGAGCTGGCCGGTCAGTCCTGACGAGATTGAGATTGAAGATGCGCGGACTATCCCGCTGAGAGGGACAATCGAATGGGCTCCACCGCGCCCGCAGATCATTTTTACGCCTCATCCACCACCGGTGTAAGTGCAAAGAGAAAAGAATGATACAGTAATTTATATATATTTTTTTTATTGTCACGCTTTAATGCCTGTTTATTCTTATTCTTAGATATCCCATCACTAACAATGAAAATATTGTTGCATCACTATAAATATCAATATTTCTGCATATAATATCTTTAAAGCATTTTATAAACAATAATAATGTAATCTACATTGGATTCCATTGCTTATACAGATATTTACTCGTCTTTCTTTTCTGTAAACATTTATATTCTTTTTCTCCTCTTCACTTAACAATTTTTCTGTTTAGTCAGTGCTTCGATTATTTTTTTTTTTAGAAGACGGATGCTAATAGCCAAGCAGAATTATAGGTGTGCGGGTTGTGGTATGAAGGTCGCTGTGAAATATGCCAATCGATTTAGGTACTGCGAGTATTTGGGTCGATACTTTTGTACGGGGTGTCATACAAACCAGGTGGCATTTATACCAGGGAAAATTCTATCGAAATGGGATTTTAACCGGTAGGATTTCTTTAAAAATAGTTTATCAAAGGTAAATAAAGTATTTCAATGTTTCTTTAATGTCTCTTGATGCTTGGCAGATATCCTGTATCAAATTTCTCATATCGATTACTGGATCAAATGATGTCGGACCCGTTGTTCCAAGTGAACGACTTAAATCCATTACTATATAGACGAATAAAGCAATTAGACAAAACGAGACTTTTGCGCACAAAGTTATTCTTTTTGAAGGATTTCTTATTCGCGTGCCGATTCGCGACTAGGTAAATCTCAATCTTTTTTTGCAATATTATGATTTGCAATGTTATGATAATAATAGACATGATAATTTGATAATCTGTTTTTATGATGTTATAGCCTTCAAGATGTGCTGAAGAAGGAACCAAATTACATCATAAACGATCCGCATGTGTACTCGATTCAAGATTTAATAAACGTCAAGCTCGGTGTGCTGTTCGTCAGGCTGCAGGAGCTCGTTCAAATTTGTTGCGCACATATTGTAGATTGCGAGGTATCGCGATATATTTAATCAATTGAATAACCCAAAAATTTATTTTTATTTTAATCTTCAATTTGACTCAAGATTTAATTCTCCAAATAATTAGATAAATATCGAAAAAGCTTATTGGATTTTTTTAAGTTTAAATTTTACTTAAGATTTTTAACAGAATACGCGCGTTACATTCAATAAGTCGAATAAGATATTGGGAATTTTTTTTAAAGATTTTGAAACTGTTTATTTTGCATCAATTGTTCATCTTTAGATATCGAATGTTTTAATCGTTAACGCAGAATTATACTAACTATGTATTTTCTTTCAGTTGTGCCAAGCTAGAGGATTTGTCTGCGAGTTATGTTGTTCTAAGGACGTGATATTTCCGTGGGATCTGTCAAAAGTAATACGATGTGAAAAATGTGGCGCATGCTTCCACATCGATTGCAAACATGGTTCTGACAAGCTCGAGTGTCCTCGATGCGAGAGATTGCACGCTAGACGAATTTCAAGGGATGAGAAGCCTTGACGAATGACGAGGGCGTACTTAGTCGCGCTATTCGGAATAGAATATGTATATTAAGCACAATAAGTCATTCGAGTCCAGAAGATATCTTATAAGACTTATTTCGAACAGTAAAACATCCTAAGAGAGATTTAAGTTTTATAGGTATTTTTTGGACTTTTGATGTTATTTGGAATATTATTAATTTATAAAATTACCAATAACAACATACTCAAGACATTAATTAAACATTAATTAAAATTTCTTGAATACCTCGAGTGCAGTATTTAGACAATTTCTTAGATATTAATGTGAAAGTCAATTCATTCGAATATAATTATGACTTCTGATCTATTCGATGTAGGTTGCAAAACTAGTTAAAGGTGGACGTTAAATTATAAATTAAATTAAATAAAAACCATGGTATAAAGACAAGGGTATGCTCCTGCGCATGGCCATGCCCCTAGAGCCTGTATCAAGCATACATCATTGGTGCGTTTGGGGAGGCGCTATTAGCGCTACTTCTGTCATCCTATCTTCGTTGTTTATTAGACATAAAATAAAGATAGACTAATAGCACGAATAGCACTAATAGCGTCTCCCCGAACGCACTTTAAGTGCGAAATTCGAACATATGCTTTCAAGCATGCCTTTTAATTCGAAAAATTTTCTGACTCCTTTCAATCAGACTCATTTTTAGTCTTATGATGATAATTTCCACATCCTTTAACTGTACAATTTGAATGTGAAATTACTCGACTTTGCACTGCAGAATTTATTCGGCATGTGCTGCACGTGTGTCGACGACCATATTTCATTGACACGAACCGCTCCGGATATAGCTAGAGATTCTCTAGCCGAGAGGTTCTCTAGCCGAGGCTAACCAAATGTGACGTATGTTTGATACATGCGTAGTGGTCTACTACTGGACGAGTATATCGATTCCCTTGTCTTTATAATCTTTATATCATGGTAAAACCGCATATTAGATATAGGGGTCCATAGTAAAAGTTCAGATTTCCTTTTGTTCTCTATTCTCTACTCATGCGACTAAAAATACTACTTGTGCCTCAGTCTCGAGAAAAGAATATTGAATGTGTGAACGAGACGTACATTATAGCGAAGACTGAAGCGTTGTGATATATATGTGTTGGATTTCGATTTTCTTTGGAATAATCTGCATAATGCAAACGTCTACAGACGTTTTTAGACATCCCTGAATATATTATTCAGAGACGTCAATTTATGAAAAATCTTAAAAGACACACAAATCGGATGATTTATTGAAAAATATAAACATAATTTGCCAAGCAAATTGAGACGATACACTTTACAATAAACTATTACAGAGAAAGTAAACTTTTTAAAAAGTAATATAATAATTAAATAATAAAAGAGAGAGAGAAATATATATAATAAATTTTTTGTTCAAATAGTCTATTGGATTGTCTGAGAAATTCGTATGAGTTTTTAGTTCTAATGAAACAATTTTAGAAATAATTTTATTAAATGAAAACTTTATTCAAGAAAATATTTCATTTTGCACTACTTTAACTTATGTTTCAGGTAACTGTAGAATTCCGTCTTGGTTGGTTTGGAAGCAAAGAAGTCATTTACATGGGGTTTTTACTGCAAACACGTGCAATTTTCTTTAGGCAATCAAAGATTTAGTGTTGTTTTGATAAAACATAACACCCGTTTTGTTCGTCAGTTGCTTGTGTTGGATGTTTCGGTTTAAATTGTTCAATTGGCTATAATATATCGGTAATTTCAAACCATTATCGGGAGCAGTTCAAGATCTTCGAGTCTTTACTTTTGCGCTTCGCGTCTTTAAAGTAAAAATTACTCGCTTCAAATCACTTCTGAAAAATTGATAAAGCAATAGCATAATCTCCATACATTGTGTAAGTTTTTTCCGTTGTTTGCAGTAGTAAAAAAATGCACATATCGAAAATGTACACTGAGAGAAAAAATGATTGGAATAATCATAATTTAACTATAATTTATATAGTCATTTTTTGGAACAACCATAAATTTATAATTGTTTTGACCATATGAATTATAGTAACTTGAACACTGAATTATGATCGAGGGGTTACTCATCTACGAAATCAACGAAGAAATTAGAGAACGAGGCAGTCAAGCATTCATCATTGAAATCAAGAAATCATCGGAAATCAAGCAAAAAAACATTGTCGTTACGCTCGCGCGTCTTGGCAAACATATGAAATCACTGAAATCACGTTGAATATAAGAAATCGAAAATTAATTTCGTAGGCGAGTACCCCCTCGATCATAACGACCATAATATATACTCATTCAACTAATTGCACGGTTATCTTACACATAAATCATATTTGTATACAGTAAATTATACTATAAAATGTTGTAACTGTATATGTAATTGTATATGTAATTATTGTTACTAACAAATAACTATAAAAATGATGCTTCTAATCATAATTATTTTACCATGCAATTATTGTCACAAATACGATATAATTTTCTCTCAGTGTATCTTTCATCCTCTGTCTTCACAACTTATTGCCAGTAACGCACAAACTCAACTGATTCTCAATCAAATTTCTAAAATGACACCATCCATTTTAAAGGATGAATTAGTCAATATCTAGTTGGTGCTAATGTCTAAGGATATAATCTCGGTGAAATATTTACTAAATGATATGTTAAAATATTTTTTTATACGATATATAAATGTCATCTACTTTCAATCCCCTTAACAACTTATGCAACGCTTTATAAAGACATTTGTTGAAACTCATACGAACTTTCCGGAACTTAATTTATACACTCATGTAGTTATTCTTTTTGATAGATTTAAATAGAGAGATTTCAATAATATTTATTCGGGAGCATAGCGAATATAAAGTACGAAGGTTATCCGTTTCGCGGGTTTTCTCCGAGTCCATATCCATTCTTGGAATGCCAACGTTTCGTGAACCTTGCAGTTCACTTCTTCAAGACGAGGATAGGAGTTACTGAGCATCAGGCTGATCCTCGCCCTGATGAAGTGGACTGCAAGGTTCACGAAACGTTGGCATTCCAAGAATGGATATGGACACGGAGAAAACCCGCGAAACGGATAATCTTCATACAGAAAGCACCCGTGGAAGCCTCAAGAAGATAAACAGAAAGTATTATTTTCTTGCAATTAGTTTGTAAATGGCAATAAGCTTCTTAAGTCAATAGTAATTTTAAAGTTGCATATTACTGGTTAATACAAATAATAAAGTTTTTATGTAAAAACTAAATAGTAGTAGTAAGTGCGTACCTGATTTTTACTGAATTTAAAGTATGTATATTTGTTTATTTATAGAAAGCTTTGAAAAGCATGCAATGTATAACAGTAAATAATTTTCAGAAAGAAATTTTGACGTTTCTATTACATTCTCTATTGCGACATAGCTCTATTATAATTCTTGATATAATAATTATTAACAAAACATTTATAAAGAAAGCATGTAAAACATATAAATAAAGTTATAAAATTCAAATAATAATTTACAGAAAAGTTACAATTTACTTTTAGAACAGAGATTGATTGCAAATATCGATCTCTAAAAGATGGTTTCGATAATCATCTTATTTGACTAACTATAAGAACTAAGAATTATAAGAACGAGTTGATAATGAAAGATAAAATTCCATTCTCTTGGTTAATATTTGTTCTGGTAAAATAATGCATAATGAACTAATAAGTATATTCTTATGATTTTATTAAATTACATCTCATTTATAGTACACATACACACATTTTATTTTAGCATAATAAACATTAATTTATTGATAGTAAAAAAATATATTATATACACACTAGCTTAATTTAGACCAAAATTATGATCGCGCATGTATCTTTTATATATATATATATCTATATTTGTTACATAATTTATTTTAATTTTGTTCTAATTAATCATGGACACAATATATATACAGATGAAAATCTGTGATTGATTATATATGTACAGTATGTAATTTTTATTTATATATTCGCTTTTTTTTGAGGTAACTAGGAAATCTAACGAAAGTTAATTTTGAAGTTGCGCATTACGTTATATTTTTGCTTAAGAGTAATCGTATAAATACTGAGTAATTACTACTGTGTTTTATACTGGGTAGCCATAAAATTCCTGTTTCATTTTGTATAATTAGCCATTATTGTCAAATATACATATCAATATTTACTACAAATATTTGATATTTTTATCAAGAAATACAAAGGATGTCACACGCAGAACTTGGTTATGAAAGTAATCGAAAACGTATATCTACCAGGTAATTAATCATATATATATTCTTAGTTTTCTAAGTATTTTATTTTTTATATATATACTAAAAGATTTTTATATTATTTTTTAATGGTTTTGTATTTCTTCACATTCAAAATATACCCAGATAACCAAGTCTGTAGAAAGCAGATTTTTTAAATGTCTACTACATACTATGCCAACAAAATAGCAACAGAATTGTTACAGAATTAGGTGTACATAATACTGTTGATAGACTGCTAGAAAAAAAACATAACAGAATCAGATAATGTCGGCAGGATCTGCTCAGTTTCTGCCAACAAGTTGCCTCGATATTATGTCGATAGGCGAAGTTAACAGAACACAAACCTAATGCTGATAGTTGATGGCAGACTACCGCCATTTTCTGCTCGAATCTGCTGATATTCTGCTAGAAGACTGCAGACATTTTGCTATCTGGGTAAATAATATTAATTATACAAATAGATTATATTGTAAGAATGTCAAATAAGCATCTCCCCGTCGAACGTAAGAATGCGATAGGTTCATTTTAGACGCAAAATATTCAAAATAAAGCGTTCAAATTACGGACTTATTTCATTCTTTACACCGGCCATTCAACTTTGCATTAGAGGATTTCGTGGCCACCCTGCATTTGGAAAGAGAAAAATGCACGACCCACCGCACTCGTTTCGGTTTTGCGACATTATGAGCGAATGTTGATATCACAGATTTTTTCGATTTCTATTGAAAACTTGAAGGTTTTGTCGTTCGGAAAAGAGAATGTCACCCAATGCTATTATATAAATTTCGAAACATCGGAACTGCGATTCTTTTCCGAATTTATTACACTTATATTTTGGCACACGAGAATATATAAATAAATTTTTTCTCTTTTTTTTGATCCTTAAACTAGCGAACTGTAGGTGTATTTTCATAATAAATTAATGATAAGCTTAAATGAGTATTGATTAATTCTTTCCCTTATGGCGGAAATGAATTTTTTTTCATTTTTCACAATTCTGGCTTAAGGAAAAAATTATATAATCGATACTCTGGTGCTCTTTAGATACATCTTGTACAAATCATATTTGGCAATAGAAACGGCTGATATTTGCCATAAAAATTTAATAATTATGAGTTTTAATAGAAGAGATCTTACTTCGCTAAATACTACCAAATGTATGTATGTACCAAATATATGGTGATAATTCCGGGAATTTTTTGATCAAGGTATTGTAGTATACAAAACAGGAGTTTAAATCTGAAATAAATTGCCATAATGTATAAATACACCTAGTACCATTAGATCGCTAGATATTCTCTAAGATCAGGCGTAGGATACTCTATCCTCAATTGAATCTTCATATCATCCGACTATCTGCGATAAATATTTCGTTTTCTCATTTATGATTGTAATAGAAATCAGAGTTTCTCATCCAACAACATAAGCTCCATTCAGTCCACGTACAGTCAGGTTTCCACTGCATTTCCCTATCGGATACGAGTTAGTTTTTCTACGTTCTTCCTGTTGTACTTCAGCTTCCAATCATACTTTAATGATTACATTGTCAATATTGAAATATATGGAGACTGGAGCGAAAAGACGAGAAAAGCTAGCTTGATCCTGACGAGAAAGAAATTTGGAAGTCTAACTGTAAATACAACAATGATACATAACAACGCGCCACACTCTTTATATGACGATATCTTCAGTGAGAATTATCACATGGTCATTCGCTTGCGCATAATCACATTATCAATCAACAATATGATTTTAAAATATTATCGTGAAAGGCATCGAAAAGTGAAAATTAATTAAACAAGGAGACAGGCTGAAAAGCAACGCATACGGTCAACTATCCTAAGAAACGAGATGAAGGACAGTATTTTTTCAGTTATTTTTAATGTGCACAAAAATTTTACTCTAATCAATGATTTTTTTTCAAACAACCGGAGTTAAAAAATATATACATATATATATAAATTATATGCTAATTAGAATTAATATATACGATCTGAGAGAGAGAAATTTATAAAGATTTTGGAGCAGGCCTGTCTAACATTTTATTTGCCAGAACTACGATTCCCCCTCTCCATACTTTCGCTAAGTAAGATATTGAGAAAACAAAAAATAGACGCTAGAGCAACTAAATCACTGAGCAGAGCTTTGAAATCTATTTTCTCTGTTCTCTTTGTCTTGCTTAACGAAACGCTGGAGAAATCGAAGCATTTAGTTCGCAAAGTATTAAATAGGTCTGGTGTTTAGGGCATCAATGCCGTTACTCGAAGAGTAGTGGTTTTTTGAACATAAAAATTTTGGTAAATGTAAACTCAATTACTCTAAAATTACGTACGAATTTTGGAAAGTTGTTGTAACAGAAGTAAAAGATTCACTTCTCAAGTCGACAGATCTGATGTCGTGCGATTTGTATTTCTTCTCTTGACTTATAAAGCGTCATTTTTCCACAGATGATAAAGCTAAGTAAACAATAGTGTCGTGTATAAAAAAAAAACTTTTAATCTATTAGGAACAATTTATTGGATTACAAGACGAGCGTGTAAAAAAAGATGGATAAATTTTATTCTTTTCTTTTCTTTGAATTTTGAAAATATACATCTTTTCGTTCATGAGTCAATTCAACCATACGAGCATTACTTTTCAGTCTATTCTCGCATATTGAAAAAAGAACCCGATATCACATTTCGGGTTGAGAATTCATTTCGCAAGATATAAAAGCGTGGCGCTAAAATAAATATTTAATAAAAAAAGAAAAAGAATTAGTAAAATGACTTATACAAATAGTAAAAACTGTAAAGTGATATAGAGATTACTGCGTCATATACATATATATAAATAATAATAATAAAGATGAGTCAATACGCTATCAAGTGTACCCGTAAAAAACTCGGTGAGGTTTCACGATAAAACTTTTTGACGTACATTCGAGATTTTTTACGTTTCCGCCTTCGTTTCATGCATTATACAATTTAGAGGGTAGCGTCGCTATTCGCGTGCTAATATTACAATACTTAACAAACATTTAAGCTATCCAACATATGTTACGACTAGTCTTAATTTCTAATTCCATGTTAATTTGTTTGTCTGTATTTATACTGAATTTGGAGTACTTTCTATTTTATTAACTAATTCGGTTTCCTTAGAGTGCGGTCCCATGGGATACGGAACTGCGGAACGTTCGTGATTGATAATGGTTTCATTCTGCCGATTCCGTCGTTTTCTTTTCCGCAGTTTTAGTTTTTAACAAATTCGTGCGTGTGATTTCGCTAACGACGCTAACCTGGTTTAAACGAAGAAAACCTGTCTTCTACAAGAACGTATACTTAATCGAAGGCAAGTAGATTAAGAACCGTTAAAAAGAGCCATAAATATGAGACGCATATGGGATCGAGTCATGGATCACGAGTCGAACAGTTTAAAAGCGCGTAGCTATTCGCGGTGTCTCTGTATCTTCTTATTAAATTAATGGCTTCTGCCTATAAATAAATACGGACGTCAATACGGTCAAAAAATGAATGTCGTAAATACAGAAGGACGAAAATGTAAATCAAAATTAAAATGGATACACAAAACGCAAGTGTCTCTGTATGTACGATTTCCGATCCGCAGGAGTTTGTTTCTTTATGTCCCATTAAGCGAAACTTGTAAATACGCAATCAATGTGAGCCAATGACAAATGCTATTCCGGTAGATCTAATGAAAATGATCTACGAGAAGGCTCTTGCGATTTGTCAGCGCTAATTGCGCATTTTGCAAATTCCGCTCAACGAGATATAGGAAGACACTTAGCGGAGCGAAATCGGAGGAATGAAGCCATGAATCATAAACGTCACGCAATTCCGTATCCCATGGGAACGCACCCTCACTCTTGTACTTTTTCTATTCATATGTCTAAAGTCTCTTTTAGGGGCAGCTTCGCAACTTCGAAGAAAATCCTAGAATGCAAATAAAATAGAGTGAACATTAATAACTTACGAAAAATATGTTTTATATGTATACAAGATGTCCCAGAATATTTGGACAATGCTTATATGCAGACAAACTGGAAAAGTCCTCTAGTATATTACAATTTTCGTAATAGTTAACGAAATATTAATTTCTAAAGAACGCTGAATAAGCGCGTTTAATGCAAGCGCGCATGAAATACAATCGTTTAAAGCGGGGAATTGTTTTCCTTTGCCACTTGTATATAACTAATTGTCGCTTGTAGTAAACAATTCCCCGCGCCTAGCGATCATAATCTGGGTGTGTATTTGATAATAGAATGGATTCGCATTCATTCGGCGATATTTAGTAATTAATTGTTAACTATTGCGAAAATTGCAAAATGGTACAGGATCTTTTGACTTACTTTAGTCTATTCTATCTGCATACGAGTGTTGTCACGAGAGTTATCGGACACCCTATGCATGCACGCACGCACGCACGCAAGAAAGCAAAGTGATCCACTTAAATTGAAAACCTTGAATGTTTCACTTATTTTTGATATGATATAAAAAAATGTTTCAAATGAAAATGGAACGCTTTCGAGGGCGACGTATTTTGGTCACGTTTTTTTCTAGGTGGAAACGCTAGAAAGATATGAAGATTATTTCCACTTTCTTAAATGGAATTATACAGGGTATCCCATAATTCATCTGATAAAGCTCGTGGACAGGTAGAGCGGACCAAACTGAGATTAAAAGTCCTGTACTATTTTGTGCGTTTGCGCCCGGGCTACTACTGTGGAATGTATGGCCCACCAATCGGATCGCGCGGGGATGGCCTGGTAGGCGTGTTCTGGTTATCCCCACTTCCCGCACGCCAAGCGATCCGATCGTGTCGTACATTCCACAGCAGTAGACCGGGCGCGGACGCGCGTATTCAGTATTCTTTAAAGATTAATATTTCATTAACTATTGCGAAAATTGTAAAATGGTAGAGGACTTTCCGTCTCTCAGTTTAGTCCGCTCTACCTGTCCACGAGCTCTGTCAGATGAATTATGGGATATTCTGTATAATTTTTAGATAATATGATCTCTCTAATTATTCTGCATATAATATTATATTATGGTACAAGTATTAAAAAATTAATAGTATACGAGATATTTAATATTTCATCATTGTGCATGTATAAAGTATAAAATGTCTTGTAAAGCGTAAACTTGGTTTGGTATTGGTTATTTGATATCTCTACTTTAATGTTTTATGTGCAGAATAGTTAAAAACATCAAATTTTGTAAAAAAAATCATATAATATCATCTAAAAAAGGAAGTAATCTTCATATTTTTGTTTGGTATCTTCATCTTTAAAAACGTAACCAAAATACGTTCCTCTCGAAACCATTCCACTTTCATTTGAAATATTTTTTTTGTCTCATTAAAAATAAGTAAAATATTCAAAATTTTCAATTTAAGTGAATCACTCTGTATAAATAAATAAATATATATATATATATATTATATATAAGGAAATACATAAAAGAAATAAATTAAATATAAATAATATATAAAATAAATACTATTAAATACTTACTTGTGGCTGTATTTGCTGCGGACAGTTTTTAATGTTTCTTTATGCTTTCTATGTAAACTTTGATTCAAAAGATTGCAAATATCTCTTATGTCGTTCAGTTCATAACCGCTATAGTATTCTAATGTTGGATTCCATCCTCCTAAATCTTTCATTAGCAATGCTAGTAACAACGCTGCCGCTGCCATTTTGCTATCGCTAAACCTGACCATCGTATAATCCATCAGCGAGTGTTCCAATATATACCGAGCCAGAGTTAACGTGGGCATAGAGACCTTGGCACACTATTTTCAGATAGTAATGATTGAGTTAGTAATGATAGATTCTATTAAGTTAATTAGTGAAATTTTTTTAAATGTCAATTAGTTGATATCACATATATCATATATTATATATCATATATATCATATATATCATACGTTGATATCATATATATCATATATGTATATCATACGTATCATATATATCATACATGATATTATTTATGATATCTGATTCACCCTCTATCAAAGTTCCTCTTCTTGTTTTTAAGAGTTAAAACTATTATAATATATTATTTTATTTTTCTCAACTTCCTCTACAAATACATATACAAGGTGTCTGACGTAACTGTGATCATGATTTTTCCGGCATTTCCGATGATCTGACAAAAATAATTTCGGATAAAAGAGTTAGTCAGTCTTCAATCGGCTACACATTACAATATTAAATTTGCTGTACTGTAACTTTCGAGCCTTATAACTCAAAAAGTACTCAATAAAAAATTACGTCGGACACCCTGTAGACGTCAAATGTGTTCGCTCGTATCCCAGAACTTCTAGTAAAATGTTCAAAATTTTTTACATATTATGAAAGAAAAATATTAGATGCACTTTTGCTACTCTGACTTGGAGGAATTGAACATGGAGCTTCCATTTGTTGAATGATTGTTATTATAACTAACAATATAAGTCAATAATAATATAAGTATAATAATATAAGTTACGCATTAATTCCTATTGATTCGAAAATATATTGGTTTTAAATCTAATTTTGAATATAATAAAATCAACCTTTTTCTTTAAAAGAAAATTATTTCATTAACGGAAGTATTATATCGCTTAATATATTCATTTAAATTCTAAGACAAAATATTTCTATATATAAATCGGTAGCTTTGTTATTGCTTACCCTGGCGTAACGCCGAAGAAATCTGTAAGAAAGAGGTATTCCCAGATCAAAATTGACTACTTTTAAAACATTCATTTCCATTTTGATCAACTCTCTCTGTGTGTAAGCGCCATCACATATATACAAGAAATCTTCCACCATTGGTGGTATTCTTTCCTGAAGCCAAAGTTATGAAGTTTTTATCATAAGCTTATTGTTCGTGACAGAAGTACAATTTTGTTAATCAACAATTTTGTAGATATATAATTATAAAATTTACATCAAATTTGCTCGCTATGAAAAGACTTGCAGCGCCGAGCAGTTGTAAAGTCTCTTTTCCGACTGTCATTTTTGTCAGATATAAATCGACAAGTTTTACGGCCAGATATAGGGTCTCATGGTTCAATTCAAATGATTCCTGAACCTCAACCATCCAGTCGACTAGTAGCGCTCTCATCCAATGGGAAAGACATACTTGCCGGTCCATGTAATCGCCGATGAGGAACAGATGTTCTCGTTTCTTCAGATATTCGAAAATATCCATTGCATAGTGTGATACCTGGTATGGATCTAGCCAATTTTCAACATCAAAGTCCCACTGAACATTTTCGGGTAATTCTCTTATAGGTACGGCAATCAATAAAGTAGTCGCTGAAACTTTATTCTCATTCGTAGGAGATGTGGGTTCATTTTCTTCTGCTATCGCTGTTGGTTTGTCATTTGTTTTTTCGTCAACCTATAATGTATATTTAATCTGTTAGTACTGCATAAACAGTATAAAGTCATCTTCTTCTTCCTCTTCTTATGTTAGGCTTCTGGCCTGTGTTACACCTCTTTCATATGCTTGTGGTGCGCACGCTGTTATTCAATTGCCACGAGCATATGGGACCTACAGTTTTAATGCCGGTTCCGAACGGCGGATTTTTCGAGAGGTGTTTCTGTGTAGTAAAAATAGTAAAAATATATGAAATATAAATAGTAAAACGTTAAAAATATATAGTATAATCCTTAGTTTAAGAAATTATTTCTTACTCTTTTTTAAAAATAATTTTATTTTAAAAATTATATAAAATTTAACAAACAAATTGTATATAATTTCTAAAATAAAATTATTTTAATTTGAGTTTTACTTTATGAGTTTTTCTTAAGTTTTCGCAAATAAATGAAATTAGAGAAAAACGTTAATTCTAAGATATTATACATAATAATATATTACAAAAAGTTTATATATATACCTTATTGCTACTCCTGCGAGTCTTTTTTATGCTATCATTAACGTCTTCCAAAGCACTGACGTATAACGAATTATCCTCAGATTTTTCTAAATCTGCACTTCGTCTAATATTTACAACTTTGTTAATAGTTTCTGTTTTATCATCCTTTTTGAGAATAGACTTAATACGAGGCGCCGGTTTTCCTTTCGCCGGTACAACTTTTGATATAATAACATCTGCAGGTTTCTCTAAAGCAACGTTATTTCCAACTTTGGACTGAGTAGCTATCTTTTTTGTTGGATGTATCGACGTAGTAATAGCCTATCAGAGTCATAATATAAAAGAAATAAATACATAGATGATAAAATAAAATAAAAATGAATTAAACATTAAAACGTTATGATTTAAATAAATTAAAACGGTGATCGGAATTAGATCGTTTTTGGTCCGATTTTCGTGTTAATGCCACTTGCATTTTCTTCCTGCCACTTGTGTTTTCACAAGAAGCCATTGGAATTGCATAACTGATGCGTGAGATTCTGTTTCAAGAATATTACGCATAGATAGAATCGTGTCTTCTGTTCGACAACTTGTTATACGAGCAACAAGAAAGAGTTAGTAATCACGAAAACAGTGCCAAAAGTTGTATTTAAATCCGATCTCTGAATTAAAGTATAAATTTATATTTTGTTATAATAACTGATAGAATAATTGCAGAATACACACATTGGTGATATTTGTAAAAGCGTATCTCTTGTTTGTTTTTTCTTTAGGTGGTGAAAATACATCTGATTTTCGCTTGGTGCGAGTTTCTCTGCCAGTATTGGATGATTTTAATACATTGCTCAATAAAGAATTTTGACTCCTGGTTATTATTCCTTTCCTCAAGGTTGTAGTGCTGTTTTGTCTATTTTGTCCAAGTAATACTTTTGGAGGTGCCATTTTTCGGATATGATAAACTTTGGTACTTCTGTTCCTTACCTAATTATTATTCACAAAAATACATATAATTAGTTCATAAATTATAGTTTAATTCGTAATATACAGGGTCCGGCCGAATAACACATAAAAGCGGGCACGACGTGATTGCTTATAAAACGCAACCAAAAATTGGCTGCTGCAGCCAATTAAAAATGCTATGCCATATTTTACCATCTAATGTGCTGCAGCAGCCAACCTTTTCTTTCAGTGTATCATTTTTAACTGATGTCTGCATATTTTTACTCTTTCCATCTACAATCTAAGTCTTTTTGTTTCAAAGTACAAGCTTTTTTATTACTTTAGGCAACCAAAAAAAGTGGAAAAAGTTAGAGCTATCTTTTAATGTGTCTATTACTAAATAATTTCTAATTTAAATATTAAAACCTTTATTTAATCCGTCTTTCTCTACTTTGGAAAAATTTTAAAGCGAAATTTCGCTTATGCCAAAAGAACTCATTGCAGATAGAGTTTATGTTATTATTGAACAATTGTTAGTAAACAACTTTCCTTATTTAATAATAAAATAACGATAGTTATTGTAAACTTAACAACTAAAAAGATGTTTACGATAACTTTGTTACCATTTTGTTAATGAATAAGTTATTTATCGAAAAGGAAATGTTATTCACTAACATCAGTCGTTCGATAGATCATTATACATTAAAAACAGAATAGGGTCTTTAGGCTGCGTTTCAGTATTGAAAATCTATAATGCACGTAATGAAAAACGTAAAACATATGTAATAGAATGAAAAAGTACAGTACTCAATATTAAAAATACAATTTACAATATGATATTGACTAGTGAGATGATGCAATATTTCGTGCGTTAAAGTTCATACATATTCTGTGGTTCATACATATTCTTAAATTACATGATAAAATCGAACGTTTCAGATGCATTTCAAGCCTTCTTCAGCAAACATTTTTTTAAACATTTAACCCACACTTCTGGATCACAAGGCAGAGTTGCGCAACAGTTTCGGCATTGCTTGATGAAAGAATTCTCAGACTTATAATAACACAGGTATACAAAACTAATGTTTAAATCGGAAATTAGATCATGATATTTTTATACGTATTTTAACGATATCCAAATTGTTCCATCACGTCATAATTTTTTTATCAACGGAAAATAGCTAGATTTTACAGTATTTGAACCTATCATCTTGAATATTATTATAATTTTATAAGCCATCTTTAGTATAAGGTGTGTTTATTGAAAGAGTAATGGATAAGAATGTATAATCAAATATTTTAAAGGAAAATTAGAAAAAAAGTATCAAAAGATTGAATCTAGGAAGTGATTATTAATTTCAACAAGATAATGATTCTAAACATATGGTATATGTTTGTGAATGGATATACAATATTTCTATGCATATTTTAAAAACATCGTCAGATTTAAATCCGATTGAACATTTATGGAGTAAATTCAAAAATCGATTGAAGAAACGCATAATTTAAAGAAAAACTTAATTGAAAAAGTACTATTAGAAGACGAATAAAATACTATAAAATTTGACAGCTTAGTTCTTTCAATTTTATTCAATTTTATCAAACGGATTGAAAAAAGTAACTATAAACATAAAGTAAACATAAAAGATTATTAACTAAATATTAGTTTCCTTTTTGTAATCTTCCTTTACTGTTATAATAAAATATGTTAATATTTTTGTGTTTATAGATAAAATGCTCTCAGAAAACATTTTTATCTTTCTTTGTTTACATCTTTTGATTACATTTATTTATGTCAATTTAATGAATTTGTATTATTAAATATAAAGTATAAAATAAACATTTTTGTAGAAATACTACTAAATAAAAAAACTATTGCTGGAAAAAAACTATAGGCTGTTTTATAGTTGCAACAGTACTGTGCCAATACTTTAATTTAACATTTACGTATACAAGATTTGTTAGATAGACAATGTGTTAAATAATTTGATGTACTTATAGCTTTTAGGGCATCTATTTCAACACAGATGATTAAGTCCAAGTAGTTTTTGCTATTTATCTAAATTTAATATGAATGTTTTTTTAGTATTTAATATGTATTTACATATTAAATACTGAACAAATAACTCAAAGTTATGAAATATTTATTACTCGGGACACTATTAATAAAAATGTGGCAACATTGCATAATGATTCGAAGAAAAAAACTAGTAGTAATGTGGCCTTCCATAAAAATAACCTTAAAATATTAGTTTTGTTTAAAAAAAAAAGTATTTGGTTACAAAATTAACAAAAAAGTAAAACATTTTAAAATGTATGCAAATGAATGTACATACATTCACGTAACTTCTGCATATAAGTTGCTCAGTACTAAAAATCTCAGTACTAAGAATAGTATACGTAATGTTAACTATAGATTAACAGTAGAGCTAGAATCGATTATCAAATAATTATTCTGATATGCAAACCTTAAAAAAGAGGTCGTAAGTAATCAATATCCATAGAGGACCACATTAGCAAAATGCCATGCTATTGTTTAAATTTGCATAATTCAAAATATATACAAATAAGATGTTAAACAGCATATAACACACTCAAAAATACATATATTCTTGTGATCACACGCTTCAAGTTTAAGAAAAATGAGGAGGTAAGTGTAATTAAATGCTAAAATGTATCTCAGAAACGATTCGAAATACTTGAAAGTAAAAATGTGTTGGCCATTGAATATTGGTATATTATTGTCACGATGTAACGGCGAGCTACTGAATAAATAAATCCATAAGAAATCATTAGGATTCGCTATATAATAGCAGAGATATTAAGGGAGGCCACAATATATACACTGGCCATAATACTACTTTCTCCTCTATTATTGACGTTATGTCATTACTAATAATCATAAAAAATGGAGCTCCCAATTATAATTATTTTACCATGTAATTATAGCCAGAAATATCAAATATTTTTCTGTTAGTATAAACTAGTATGATTTAATTTTTAAAATAATTAGAAAATCGTTATTAATATGTGAGTAATCATCTGGCGATTCTTATACCTCGACAGTGAAAAACTTAAATTATGGAAGCAGTTTTTCTACCGATCAAGAAAGATAAAACTCGTTTTTAAAACTTTTTTAAACTTTTAAGAAAATATTGTGTAAAGCTACAATACAATGATCTCAAATACTCACAAATTATAAGGCAATCAATAATATATAATATTTAAATAATAATAGTAGATTTTAATAGTGGGTGAAAAAAATACGTAATAGGTCCGTTTATGCAAATAAAATTAAGATTATTCCCGGATTAGATATATCGGGAGAAATGCAACAATGTTATGGGACGTTCTACATCTTTTCCAAAGTAGATTCAAGACAGACTTTTGATTCACAGGACAGAGTAACGCATGATGAACGACACACACAGAATGTCAGAATATCGGTCGCACGTGTTAATACGCGTTCCTCATATTCCCAGTATATCGTAATGAAAAACGTCGAACTTGTCGCCAAAATGAAATGGAATTATCCCGTCCTCTACTGATATAGAAATTTACGTGACTCTCTGTGATAAATCCGTCGATTTTACAGATTTTCAGTTCGCGAGACGGTACGTTGGGATAGAAAACGCGGGAAGTAGAACGAACGACCTCCACTCAGTCTTCGTTCGAGATCGTTATTCCGTTACCTTTGACGATCTCGGGGTACGATTGAAAACAATCGCGACGATGAAGGCTGGCCTACGCGAAGGCACGAAGGACGCGAGCAAAATATTTATTGGAAATATAATATAGGAGCAAATATGGTGGAGTCGCGATGAGTGATTAGATAGGTGCCTCTCGCCGGGTTTCCTGCGTGTCGCTTGACGTGCGAATTGTGCGTACCTACGTAACTCTCGGAATCCTCGGAATATTTGTGGGTGAACGACGAAAGGTCGCTTGTTTATAAGGCCTTTGCATGCCACGCGCCTTATAGGTGTAACAACGTCGCCGTTTTCGTTCGCGCGTTTCACAAGTCACAACTCGCGGTGACTGAGGTTACTTCGTTGCTGATCAACTTGATGTTGGTTCAAATTCACAGTTACAGCCAATTGCGGCGCAACGATTGGTCGACATACAGCGCCTTGGGTTAGAGTGGATATAAAGTCAGACTACGCATTGAAGATGGAGATTGAAAATTGAAAAATTCAAATTTGACCAATCGAAACGAAAGAAGCTAAAATTTCTTTGTCCTTATTGGTCAAATTTCAATCTTTATGCGGGGTCTACAATAGAAGTCGTAGCAGTCGTAGGGTCTTAAGTCGTAGAAAATTGACCAATCACAGTCGAATATGAGAAGAATAATCAACTGTGATTGGTACGTTGGAAAACTTCTATTGTAGACCCCGCATTAATCTTCAATCTCAAGCGTCGTCTACAATACACGGAGTAAGAAGTAAAAGTAAGAAATTAACCAATCACAGTCGATTATTCTTCTCACGTTCGACTGTGATTGGTCAATTTCTTACTCTTACTTCTTACTTCGTGTATTGTAGGCGACGCATCAATCTTCAATGCGTAGTCTGATTTCGGCCTAACCTACTCTACCTTGGATTAATAATAGCGTTTTTCATTGGCAGAACTAATGCGCACTCAGTGCACTTTAAAGCCGTTGTACAAAAATCGACGTAAAAACGTACATTTAATAAAAATATAGAAACGAATTAAACCGCGAAATATACGATATTCAATAATTTTATTGTGCTATTTGATAAAATACACATTGGTTATTTTATCAATTGAGATACCTCTATTAACTTGCCGTATTAGTATGAACGAAAGCATTGAAATCCTATGGTTGAACTTTACCGGCACCGGCATAAGTTAACGGTCACTATAAAGGGCCAATTTCACCAACCACGGTTAGATTAACCGACGGTTAAAGTTAGCAGGGTGGCCAACAGACATTCATATTCTCTCGTAACCTCTTATATATTGTCAATTTTACGGAGCTTTGTCTATCTGAAATTTCATCAGTGAGTGAGAATACAAAATGAATGATATTATAAATTACATATTTTTTGACGAATTTGCTGGTTACAATTTAGAAAAACGTCGAAGACCACGTAAAATCAAACCACGTATAAATTATTTAGAATTGTTTGACGATGTAGATTTCAGGTCAAGGTTTAGAATATCAAAAAATCATTTTATGATATTATTTGAAAAAATAGAAGATGAAATACGACCAAAAACTGATTGGTATGTACAAATATATGTGTGTATATATATATATATATAATAGTAAGATTATATAAATAACGTTAATTACTGTTAAATACTGTTATTTTTACAGTAATGATGCTATTCCACCTATTACACAATTGTTAGTTGCATTACGATTCTATGCAACAGGATCCTTTTTGCAAACTATTGGAGATTTCTGTGGAATTAGTATATCAAGTGCTCAGAGAATTGTTCACCGTATATCCAATGCTATTGCTGCATTAAGAAATGAGTTTATAAAACTTCCAATATTACCTGAAGAAATTCGTCGAAATGAGAAGGAATTTTACCAAACTGCCAAATTTATTCGTATTATTGGCTGTATGGATATAAAGATTTTATAAAGATTTTTTAAATTTATATATTCCTAATAATAAATTAATACCTGTCTTATAACTTTCACGCTTCAAAGTTGCACAATATTTTCTTGCTGCTTTTTTCAGATTATCCCAACAGTAACGTAAAGCTTTTTCTGATCTTTTAATTGTTGTGTTTGCATTATATTTGTTGGTAATATCAACCCATACTTCATCCTTTTTTACAAGTGTTGAACGATCAGTTTCTTTGTTTTCAATGACATTACGTTGTAAAAATATTAAATCTAATAAAGATTCTTTATCTGCGTCAGAAAAATTCTTTTGCCTTTGCATGTTTTAATCTGTAAAAAAAAATAAAATTTATAATGTCATTTTATATTATATAAAGAAACATATTATATATATTTATATTACCTTTTAAACTTTTTTTCACATGTATAATACACTGTTTATTGCTTCCCACAAATTTCAGGTTAGAGCCAAGAGGTTACGAGAAAATATGTGTCTGTTGGTCACCCTGCTAACTTTAACCGTCGGTTAATCTAACCGTGGTTGGTGAAATTGGCCCTTAGTCGCCCCAAAGAGAAATAGAATTAGAAATATATAGAAATTAGACATACCTCTTAGCATGCAGTAATATATAATTGTGTGTGGATAAATTATGATGAGGATAGACGGTGAAATAATTTTACAAGTAAAACACATTTCTTCGTCTAATCAAGATTTTCTAAATTTTCGGATACATACCTTTTTTGCAGGCCTTTTGTCCATTGCGATTCATTTTCTGAACTAAAATATCTCACCTCATTTATATTTGCCTCTTGGGATTCCTTGTATCTCCTGTTGTCCGGTTTGGCGCGCAGATTTCGCGGTCCACACGGTACGACATCGTTACATTAATCTAACCTAATGGCTACAGCACTGCGCGCTCAGCTGTAAACAACGCGCATGCATGAGTGCGGGCCAAGTCTGGCATCACTGTTCACACTGCATCCGATTTTTGTCGTACGACACTCTGCATCCAATCAGAAAACAGGATTCCGATAATACGAAGTAAAATTCATCGATGCGGTGTGAATCCAGCATGAGGATTGCAAATTGAGGATTAGAATTCAGCCAATTAGAACGAAACGGATTAAACTTAAAATTACCTGATTGGTCGAATTCTGACAATCCTTAATTCTCGCAATCCTCAATCTCCAATGCGTAGTGTGACACGGGCATAAGACGTTAATACGCCCCTCCGATTGGTTCGTGACTTCTTAAAACTGTACTAAGGCCGGAATCAGACTACGCATTGAAGATTGAGGTTGAAGATTGAAGATTGAAATTTGACCAATAAGGACAAAGAAATTTTAGCTCCTTTCATTTCGATTAGTCAAATTTGAATTTTTCAATCTCAATGCATAGTCTGATTCCGGCCTTAGCGGTCTTGAATATAAGTTCTATGAATATCGGCCTTACAGCCTTATCACTGTTGCTACTGTTTGTGGTAGATGGTCCTTAAGTCTCTTAACTAAACTCTTCATTTCAATGAAATATAATAGCTCATTAAAAGATAAATACATATTTATTTTATACAAAAAAAGTTTCTTAAGATTTTTCTTTTACCTACTATTGATATTTTCTTACGATGATAATATTCTTTTTAGACAGCATCTATTTTTTTTTTTACTGAAACATGAAGTTTTACTATGTTACAGCTTTATTATAAAATTTTTTATGTAAATCGAGTTTATTTTTCAAAATATTTGTTTATCAACAAAATATTTTGTAATCTTAATTCAACTAATTTGAATAAACATCACTATATGAATGCTTTATTCTGTGATTTGTTGAATTAATATATTCAACAAATAAAATGTAAATTATCGGTTCGATAAAAAAAAAGGACAACTCCCATCCTCAGTCGCTGTATAGAGAGTACAGCAGCTACCTGGTGCAAAGTTTATTTGATTTCCTTTACAGAGAAGCACGTCATTAGACTGTACGTTTCATTCGTTCATGGCTGTGCGGGCTGTGTCGTTTACGTCGAGATGCAACACGAGTATTTCGTCGTGAAGTACATTGCGGCGAACAATTGCTTCGCACATCTGTCGACTACCTGGCTGCACCGTTTGGAAACTAAGGTTAGCTCTCATTTTACGTAATCAACGATCTCTATTCTCTGTCATCAATACTCAACTTCTACCAACCATGGTTGCGTTCGGAAACATCATCCGGGATGCGTTCCAAAACTTTACTCGGTCGACTCTGGCTGCGGTCTACTTGACGTTACAAAACGCTTCGTTTCTAGCGTCAAGCGTTTGAGCGACCAATCAGAACAAAGAATTTTACGAATTGACTAGGGCTCGCTATTATACGTTTAAACGAAAACACGTTTACACGTATCTTCGAAAAACGGAATAAAATTAGAGCCCTAGAATTGACTAATCAAAGAATGCTTCGAAGCGTTTGTAGTCAAGTGGACTGCAGCCTAAAATGCCATTTATTGGCTACCGCGTCACATTTTGCCGCGCGGCAAGCGTTTTCGCGTCCAGTGTGCAGGAACCATATGGGTGCCGTCACATTCTTCATCCAAAGATGAGGATAAAGAAGTTTTAGCTCCTTTTGTTTTGAATGATCTAATTTGATTGCACCTAATGGCCTTTAGCGAGAAATTTCAATACAGCAAGCACCATCTGAGGACGATATAATAAACTCGACAGTCGATAAAAGCGCAATCTTCAATAAAATAGTTTTTATCAGAATAATGTATTTCAAGATTACGTTTACATAGAATTTTTACATATTATTTATTATTATGTTAAATTTACACGAGTCTTTTTTATGACGATACAAGTAATACAAAATATGTAAATTATTATAATTTGGATAATACAATTAATACAGAAAGAAGTAATTAAATATAAGTTTTATAATTGTAATATTTAATTTTAATAATTGGTACATTTGATTCTAATATTGATAAAAATATATAAGCGAGATATAGAAACTTTATTGCAGTCGCGTGTAATGAAAAAAAAATATAAGCTTTGATGATCTATAAATTGTTTACACAGATGACATTACTAGTCATCTAGCTCGGAAACATCAGACGATTTGACAGTTCGGACAGTTCGAATCTTAAGTTCGAACGTTAAATAGTTCGGACTGAATGTATGTTCGAACTATTTTCACCCATTTCGGAGCTGAAAGTTCAAAATTATTACATTTCGAACTCGGATATCAAGTCGTCCTCAGGATCATCCTGAATATGTCCAGGATGGCTCAGGATATTTGTAGGATAATATCAATAAATATAGGAATTTTATTATATAAGAAGTATCAGACTACTGTTTCTTTTAACTTAAAAATTTTTTAAGCCTGTTGATTGGCTATAGAATAGAGAGATTCGAGGGCCTCTCTGTCCTGTACATATTTGTTGTACGACAAAAACGCACAAATGAAATAGCATCCTCAATCTGCTTCTCACCCTGATGGAGTGAACGAAAATGTTCACGAATCGTTAGTACTCTAATAATGGGTCTGAACGGAGATAACCCGCGAAACGCATAGATCATAACGCTTCTGATTATATAAGAAATTATGAAATAATAATAAAATTAATAATAAATTAATTTAATAATAATTCATAATAATTAACAATATAATAATATACGAAATTCTTTGTATTTCTTGATAATATTCCCTAATAGCACAGATCTCCAAGGGATGTTCCAAGAACATTCAGAAGATATTTCTATGTCTTAAGAACGTTCGCCAGAACATCCCTCGAACAAAATGTGCTATTAGGATTATACAGCAAAATGATTACAGGAAAATGCGATCGAAATATCACACAACGGAAAAAAATACTATCTTTCTTGCATCGCTCGCGTTAATAATGATGAAACATTATGTATCGGGGCAACATTCGCGAGAAGTTTGAACATCCAAGAGGGAGACGAAGTATTCGTGTCTTCTGTGAAAAGCGTTGCCTCGTTAAGCAGCGTTCAGATTGCACCTCACACGACAAGCGATCGCGAGCTTTTGGTACGATAATTCTTACAGATCGATTTATTATATTATGCTAATGATGAATGAATTAATCGATTGTTCGTATTCGGTAACAGGAATTACAAATGGAAAGAGTACAATCGAGTCTCCTAAACCAAGTGAGAATCGTCGCGAAAGGACAGCCGCTCGTGGCGTGGATCTCAAAGTTTTCCTTCGTGACTTTCATTGCGGGCAAGTCGCTTGTTCTTCGTAATATATTTGAGTATATAACATTATAGAAATAGTGCTAATTATTCTCGCTTACGTAAATGTTGAATGATTGATCTATTTTTATCTTATCCGTTTTGATATTATCATTTTTAGAAAGTTGTTGAATTATGCAAAGGAACAATTTCTGGTTGAAAATGGATAAATCAGAATTTCCTGGTTAATTAATTAGAATTCTAGTTGAGATAGCTGGAATTCTTGTTGATATAATATTTCTGGGAAAATTTACTAGAATTCTTGTTTTTACCGGAATAATTATATCAATTAGAATTCTAATTATTTAGACTAGAATTTTAGTAGATTTAACCAGAAAATTTTGACTCGTCCATTTTCCACCAGAATTACTGTTTAATCCAACCAGACCATTTTTCTCAGTGAAGTAGTCAAAGTAATTGATGAAGTCATTTGGCGTTATTAAAATATTAACATATATCAGGATATATAATTTTAACAGCATGTATCGAAATATGTAAGAATACATTTTAATATATAATATTAATAATATTAAATGATTTCATTAAGTTCTTCAAAGTTGAGAGAATATAAAAACATATCTAAATGTATTTTTAATATTTTAATGCAAAGGATATTAAAAAGATATTCTGTACGTGATCCTTGCAGAGGATTCAGAGCCGAAATTCGCGTATGGGCTGCTCGAGGAGTTCACAGAAGTGCACGTGCTTGATGCAATCGCAAGCGCAACGATAAAGGATGAGGTCGTTAAAAAGAAGGCTAACACGAAGATAGGAAATCCTTTGGCCAAGATCTTGCCTTACTTCGCCAAAAGAAAAGATCATCGCGATTCGAGGGACAACGCCGCAAATTATGCGTTACTGCAGAGCTTTCGCAGTAGAAGCGCGCCTCGCGTGTTCCGTGTGTATCCTCTGCCGGATTTCCGGTCCTCCGATCAATTGAATGCCCATGACATGATCCTGCGAGGTCCCTGTCACGTTCTGATTCCGAGGAGCTGTGTGCCGAAAAACATAAGACCGAGCGGAATAATAATGTGTAAATTTATGACATAAAAGAATTTTATTTTGTTTAAAATTCGCGAAAATTAATTCTTTATTGTATACAGAAAGAATAATTTTGTTGAAGTACTTACGTATAAAAATTAGGTACAGATCTGAAAATAATTATGTTGGATGCTCAAGTTGATTGCTAGAATGTCCAAATTTTTTGTATTATTATTATGATCGAGAGTTTTACATAATTATTTTCATAGTTCAATATAATTGAACGGTGGCCAACAGCCTTGATCAAGTATAAGATTTAAAACATAAATAAAGACAAAATAACAAGTATACATTGTAAATAAGTATAAAGTAATAATCGAAATCTGTGACAAAAGTTTACTGTGTCCAGAGTTGGGCAAAACTGTAATTCAATTAACAATTACAATTTACAATGTGATTCTTAATTTAATTAGTAATTATTAATTACTAATTGAATTAAAAATTACATTGTAAACTGTAATTGTTAATTGAATTACAGTTTTGCTCAACTCTGATTGTGTCCTATTTTTGTTAACTAAGACTATATTTTCAGATCTGCATCTCTGGCGCAGTTTTTATAAACTTCAGCAAAATAATTTTTTCTCTACAAGTAGGGCTTAAAACCATTCATTCGCAGGTAAAGTCAGAAAAGTGCCGGAAGATCGGCAGTATGTTAACGTCACCAGTACGAATTTCCTAAAGGATGATGATCCTTCTCTCAAGCCTCCGCAAGAACTGGTCGCGAGGATTTACGTTCTCGAAGACATTTTGGACAAGTGCTCTGCGTCGCTAGACAGAGAGTATTTCGATCTGAATTCGATCCACTCTTGCATGTACGTGTCAGCGAGTTTGAAGATCACTTTAGGATTGAAAGTCGGAAGCAGAGTGATCGTGCAGATGATCGAGGGGGATGAGTCACCGCCGAGGCCATCGTCGGTGAACGTTTTTCCTTTCAATCAATCGGTAACGCCGGAAGTTTTCGCAAATTACGTGAAATTCCATTCGAGACACGAGCCATTGTTGCTTAATTCGGGTGCGACGATTTTACTCGAGGATGGCGAACGGTGCGTCGTACGAATGTCACCCGCGGATTGCAATTACGCGACGATAGATGGAAAGGATGTGAAAGACTTGGTCGTTCTTGTTTCGTCGGATCCGAGCGACGGGAAAATTCCTCAGAACTGTCCTGAGCAAAATTCAAGAATGGAGAAAATTTCCACAAGGTAGTGAGACGTATTATGATATTTATATAGTCATAAGTCATAAATATAAAGTACTCTAAATTTATTGCATTTTTTTTGAAAAGGTGGAGCAAAATAAGAGCAAATGGAGAACAAAATATAAAAAATAAATATTATTTTTCAATAAAACTGTTTAATTTCTTTTTCGTTAGAACGTTTACCTCAATTGTGAGAATGCTTTATATTTATGACCAAGCAGTAATTAACTAATTACTGTTAATAATATAATTGTGGCCTTGAATCATCACTCGCAAGTACTTAATAAATCTGATTATGAGTCAGACTTATATATCGTGTCAAATACCGATGATAAAAAAATTACAGGTGTATAGAGGATATCCTTAAAGATTGCGAAATCGCCCTTGATCTCAGCTTGGGTTTGCGAAGAGCAGTGGACTTCCGGTACGATCGGGAAAACATTCTGATTTGCGGCGCCATGGGTTCCGGCAAAACGACCATTTACAAAAAGCTAATTGAATGTTATTGTGAGGCACCATGTTTCGTACACACGCATGTGATCGAATGCAGGTCGCTAAAAGGTAATATCTCTATATTTTTCCCGCTCAATTAGCTGCTATATCGTAATGAATTTTATATAATCTCTATCGGACTTATACCAAATCTTCGAAGGATCTTTAAACGCAAACGCTTATTTTTTTTAATTATAACAAATCCATTAAAAAAATTCATGGTAATTGTATTTCAATTTATTATAATTTAGAAAAAACATTTACTGTATTGTTTCATTTATAAACTTTGAAGTTCGCTTTAGCACAATTTACTAAAGAGTTGTTATATATTTCTAAATTTACATTTGAATTAAATTTACATTTATATTATAATCAAAATAAAATTCTTTTAAAGAGATTATGGAAAATTAAGAGATTAAGAAGGCAATTTGTCTTCCAAATTTCTACCATATTACTCATATCTTACGGTATTTATCAAACACAGCAATTATTAATTAGGCAAAAAGGTAGAAACAATGCAGAAGATCATTACGTCCGTTATGAATGAATGCGTGTATTATCAACCGTCCATACTGTTCCTGGACGATTTGGAGAGCATTACCAATGCGTCATTAAATGACGAGGAAAATACGATAGACGCGACGAACGCTTCCAGGTACGCAATTGCATTTATTGGTTAATTTAAGCCGAATGATAATTGTTAATTTAATTGAATAGCGAGGCAAAATTCACATTTCTGATAACCAAATTGTTTGGTTTGCAAATTGATGCTCGTGATTATTATTCATACTATTCACAGGTATAGATATAGATATTATTTTTCAAAAATTGGTTTTTGAAAAACTAATACAAAAAAGCACTTTCCAATTAATTTTCTAATGTGAAGTGCTCAACCATCGTCTTGATCGATAAGAACCCTTAGTTAACTGAACTTAAACTGATTTTAGAATTACCGATATGCTGATCAATACCGTCACGCAATATCAAGAATTTCATTACATCTCAATCGTCGCCACTTGTGCCGATGTGAGCAAAATCGGTTCGAGATTACGGCCAACTAGAGGAGCGCAGTTTTTTAGGACTGTCTTGCAAATTCCGAATCTCGAGAAGGTACGATCGAAATTATTTCGAATTATTGCGAAAAATAATATGAGCGAAATTTAAGGAAAATCGACTTTTTATAATACGTTTTTACGTAAATTAGTAGAAAATTTAAAAATGTATGCAGGATGCGGTAAAGATCGTAACAACACTTGAGGATAGATTCCTGAGATTATTTTGAGACGATACATTATGATTATGTTATATATTTGTATATTGTGTTTAATTTAAATATTGCAAAATTTGATTTTTAGTTCGTGTCGTCTTTATACGAAACTCGATCGATCCAATTTAGGAGTTTGTTTGAAAAGAGGAACGGAGAGAAAAATATATAATGCATCAGTTATATTTATATTTTCTAACTTCTCTTTTCTTTGTGCCATTAATATCTTATTTGTCGATTTGCATTTCTCGATTAACGTGTCTTCGTATTTCCGCACCTTCTTAATTAAACTCTCCCTATCCCATGTCAGTTCTCTCGTTGATTTCTGCGTAACACTAACTCATGTCGTGGCTAACCAGGTGGATAGAATCGATATTTTGCGATTAACGCTCGAGGACAAGTTGTGCGTGCCCGGAGACATGAATTGGAATTACTATGGAAACAAGACTGAGGGCTGGATGCTCCAGGATATCGTCGATCTGGCGGAGAAGGCGCGGTTCGTCGCATTGAAGCGCCATGGTAACGAGATACACGAGTGATTATAAAAATATCAATGAATACCGCAGTAATTTTAAATTAAAAAATTGACTGAAAGAGAAAAAAAATTAGATTTAAATTTTCTAGCTCTAGTATGCTAAGCAATAATAAAAGGAAGAAAGATCAAATAAGAGCAAATAATTATATGTAAGAAATTATTTGTACGAATTATTTGTAGAAAAAAATTATTTGTAAAAGCAAGTGGCAATATACTTAACAGTGATGATTTTTATTGTAAGATGATCACAAACTATTTCACTATCTTTTTTATCTCAAGTTCAGAGAGATTTTTTCTTAACTTGATTGTTTTTATGGAGATCACTGTATTCTCAATGTGCTACATATTTTTTAACTTAATATTGTATGCTATTTACTCATTTCTATCTACTTAAAGCGGCAGAAAGATTGAAAACGCCGATTATCGTGACGGAGGAGGACGTTAACATCGCATTGGAGGATTTCACGCCGATGTCCTTACAGGGCGTACAGTTGTACAAAAGTAGCGGTCATTCTTGGTCCAACATCGGCGGACTGGCGAGTACAAAGACCTCTCTTACGGAAATTTTGCAGTGGCCGCTCAAGTACCCAGAGATCTTCAAGAATGCTCCAATAAAGCTCCAGAGCGGTGTCCTGTTGTACGGGATGCCCGGCACTGGGAAAACTATGCTGGCCAAAGCGATCGCCAGCGAGTGTGGTGTGAATTTGATCAGCATCAAGGTAGAACTAAGACTTATTTTTAATCGGATGCAAAATGAACTTCAATTTTTCTTATTTTTCTTTAGATCTGCTGGTAGAATTAAGTGGAGATTAAATAATAATGGAGATAATTAAAGTGGAGAATAATTTTATAGTTATAGTTATATATATATATATATATATAATGAAGACAGCGAAGTTAATTTTTTAGAAAACCCAGCTTGGCAATTTTTAATTAGGCGTATATAAATGAAACTTATCGGTAATTCTTAATAATGTTTTATTTACGACGTTTATTTTATGTTTCAGTTCACACTTAATTAAAATAATAATTTAACTGAATTTAATAATTAATGACGATGATACATATGCGATGATTCTTCCGTTATTTATTAAATAATATTAAGCTTTATTTTAGGGTCCAGAATTATTGTCGAAATACATAGGCGTCAGTGAGGAGTCTGTCAGAAATGTATTCGAAAGGTATAATTCCTCACAACATTTTACTGTTCTTTCAATGTTGAATTTGTGTGGACGGGTTTAAAAAAAATTATATTATTCGCTTATTATATTATTCGAAAGAAATTATAATGTCATAAGATGCTTATTAGCATCGATATCATTAAATGCTTGTGAATTTAATTTGTGATATTACTATCTTAATTTTAGTTCAGGATTGCGTATTAAGACTGAAAATTAAATTGGCACGTAGTTTACAGAACCAGTTATGTATATAAATTCACACAAGAAATATTTAAGCACTAAGATCCGCTTTGTTTTAATATAGTAATTCTTAATTTAATTAGATTTATTCTCATCAGTCTAAATTTGTTATCATATTATATAAATTCATAATTATAGAAATATTATTAAGTGTGCAAGATCTAGCCTAAATAAGGCATTTTTTATTTACAATTAGTTGTGTTGTTTAATTATCGGCCCAATCTCATTTAATTATTTATATATTATATAATATATTATATTATAGAGCCCGTCGCGCCAAGCCATGCGTTTTATTCTTTGATGAATTCGACAGTCTTGCACCCAGGTGAGTCATGAGACAAATGATTGTACAAAATTTACCTATCCCATTTTTTATTTGTTAGTATCCTAATGATAATAATGATATAAATGTAACATAAGTATTCTATTACATTCTCAATATTATTTCTATATGATGTTTGGTAAATAAATAACTAAATAAACTAATATATTCATAGTTGTCACAAATATAGATACATATATACAAATATATATCTAGATAATTATCGGAATTTATATTTCGTTTTAATTTATCTTTCTTTTATTTTCAATGTGTAAAAAATATGCACTAATTTTTTTTAAATCTTGACAAACGTGTGCATTTTATTTTAATTAGGCGCGGACATGACAGTACGGGAGTCACAGATCGAGTAGTGAACCAACTACTGACGCAACTTGACGGGGTCGAAGATCGCGAAGGGGTAGCGGTCGTGGCAGCATCTTCAAGGCCCGACTTATTGGATCCGGCTCTTCTGAGACCAGGACGTCTCGATAAGTATTTGCATTGCCCTTTACCGAACGAGGTAAACATATTTTTTACAACCTTCTCAACTTAGCGCGCGACTTCATATTAATTATTATCATTAATAGTTAATACTTACTTTTTATTTCACAGTTGGAAAGAGAAGAGATTTTTACAGTTCTATGCAATGCTCAAAATATAGATACAGCCGTGCTGGATCTGAAAATATTAGCCCAGCTCTCTGACGGATTTACTGGGGCTGACATCAATGCGGCGATTACTTCGGCGAAATTGTCAGCGTTTGAGGATGCTTTGGCGACTGCTACGGTGAGTGTACTTGATACTTTTTTTTTCACAGAAATAAATAAGTCTAAAAAGTTACCTTTTCAAGAAACAAAAACACTTCTCATCTTCAAACCATTGTATAAATATGGTAATTTTTCTCCAAATATATAGATAACACATAATATATAGATATGAGAATAAAGTTTTATTAATATTTTGAGTTTGATTAATATTTAGGCTTTTATTAATATTTTGAGAGCCTATATAAAAGAAGAAATAAAAGACTTCTGAACTTGTTTTTAGTTCTTGTTATCTCATGTTTTACATTTACTTTTTTTCATATTAATATTAATAAAAATGAAGAAGGAAATATATATTATGAAGTATAAAGCAATAATTTTTTCATTTTTGATTTACAAAATTTTACAAATGGCTTGAAATAAAAACAAATCCTTTGCAAATGTTCAACTCTTATTATATTTTTTCCTGTTTTCTGTTTGATTTTATTGAAATAAAATTATTATTCACGACGTGACGCTAATAAACGATTTGGCAGATTAAATTGACAGATTAAAAAAATGGACTTATTTAGTTCTTGGAGAAATCTTTCATTTGTATAATAATCTTCTGATTACTACATGCCACTGTACAGCTTCGCGATCAACCCAACCGTAACTAAAGGGGATTAATATTAATTTGTACATTATTTGTGTGCTATTCGTTAATTGATTTAATCAATGAGTCTCGTTTGTTTGATCATTGGTTTAGATTGTTTAGAAATTCGGTATCTATCATTTTATTGTTTGTACATATTGCAGAAATAACTTCTAAATATAAGAAACGTAAAATAATGTTTATAAACACAAAAAATGTAAACAAACAGATAAAAATCCTGCGTATATATATATCTAATCAACTTTCAATGATAAGTTCGAGAAAGATATTCGGAAATATACGATTTAGCTAGATAATTTCAGTTGTCAATTCGCGATCTTTCAAATCGATACATTGATTCGGACTCTTTTGCGGAACAGCAGATCACCTCGGTAATGGTCGAACCGTTTTCTTGTTGTTGTCATTGTCGTGGTAGTGTCTGTGCAACGCCGTAATGAAAAGCGCTTCTTGAGCGAATCACTCCCGAGAATCATTTGTAGGGTAGCTTCCGAAGTAAGATAGTGCGTAATGACGATAATATCGTTAGGTGTGCACCCTACGGTGTGCGTACACACGGGGGCGCGCCCGGGCGCGGGCTGGTGATACGGGGGAGATCGAAGGGGGTTGGTGGAGGGGGCTGAAGGTGCCGCGATATAACCGAGGAAACGTAGACCAGGTTTATTAGCACACGGTGCCGAGAGCGCCGGGCGACCGGGCCACCCCCTTCGGCGCTTCGCTTCATCCCCCGGTCTCCCCACGCCTCGCTGAACGTCGAGGGGGTTATTATCTTATGCGTTATAATGATACACGGTTTAGGGCCCCGCAGCAGTCCTGCAAGATCGAAAGCCAGACAGCCATTCCACTAGTTATGGCGCTCGTTAATCTCTCAGACGTATTCGACGCGTCTATCATCAACCCTCGCAAATGCTTGTTTAATTGTTTATTTGTTAATCCGCTTATATAATTTTATTTGTTTACTTTATTAATCCAATTTTAGCAATTTTTCTGCTGAAAATTAATGTATAATAATTATTTATTTGTTATGTGGTTTATATGTAAAATAATTTTGGAAGTTGTTAATTTATAATTGATATTGCATAGTTTGTAAAGCAGTTAAAGGTCAATTGAATCGATTGTCATTTTGACATGAATTGGAAGGTCATTTCTTGATTTTTATTATCCTCATTTTCTAACTTTTATTAAAAAAACATGAAAATATTAAGAGCGCACGATTGCATATGATCTACGGAGATATCCGTAAATTCAGCGGTCATTCATTGGTGCGTGCGTGTGCACCTGATTGAATTAATCCAAATTAATCGGGCCTGCGTTAAAAGGTAGGGAGCGTCTTCGAGGTATACGAGGAACGAGTGGCGCGGCTCACGGGAAGCTATTAATTAATACGCATCGGAGAAAACGAAGTTACAGGGCGGCACTTACCTCCCGGAAGAACGCGAGTATCCAAACTGTGCGTCTAATTAGCGAGTGAGTTTCCGGAGAGCATGACGCATCCCGAGAGAAAGATATAGAGATAGAGGGCGAGCGAGAGAGAGAGAGAGAGAGAGAGAGAGAGAGACTTGCTGTGATAAGTGATTATGCGGATAGGAACATGGGAGGGTGTCTTCCGAAGTGGCGCAGGTTGTGTTTAACTCCAATAATTAATTCAAATCGCTGCTGTTAACGCGCAACATTAAGCTTTTGCAGTATTTGCGACAACTCGACAATATTTTTTCACGCGATTAGAACAACGAGTGGTGATAGATGTAGAGCACATGTTTTGTATACGCAATTAAAGTAGAAATAAAAATATTATTTATATATTTTTAGATATATATATATTTTTTTTATGTAAGATGTATTTCGTAGATGTATTTTACTCATATAGAGTTTTACAATCGACCCAGTACTGGGCAAGTACTGATTGCCATAGTTCAGGTACTAGCCTAGTATTAGGTCTGTTTTCTACAGCTGAACTATAAGTGTACACTTTTGGAACTTAAAGTGAAATAAGCATATGCTTAATATTTGGTAAAAGCAAGACAGAAAGTTTCGGTGCACTCTAATGCAAGAACAAAAAACAGACTAGTTTTGGATTAACAAAACCTTGACCGTCAGTTGACAGTCATAGTGCACTGTTAATTAAGCGTTGGTTTCGTTGTAATCGCTGGCAACCTTAATATATGGGTATATAGATATATTAAGCTATTGTATATTTTCTCTAATATTATATTTTGCTTATCGATGACAGGACGGCAAAGTCAATGAGACTGCCATCAAAGTTACGCAAACACATCTCGTGGAGTCTGTCAAATTGACGAGACCATCCTTGTCCACTACCGAAAAGTTGAAATATATCAAGATGTAAGTGACCGTGCATGAAGAAAATTAGAGTAATAAAAAATTTAACTAATCTGTCTTAAAAAATTGAAGTCACGTTACTATATTTAATTGTTATAAACTATACTATATTCTATAATTACAGTTACGCTCGGTTTTCCAAGGGAGACAACTTCACGGAGGATGTGTTGAAGAACCAGAAAGCGACACTGGCTTGATCCGAATCTTTTCTTAAATTGTAAGCCAAAGTTTTTCAGGAAGGAAAAAAATATATTTTCGTACTGAAACACGAATCATTTTTTTTTCTTTGCTCAGATATCTTAATCATTCAAACAGAGACATGATGTCATAAAATACGTATAATAGTTGGAACGATGATTAAATCGATGATTTGCTGTCTGTGTTCTTCGGACTCGAGGAATCGAGATCTCGAGTGAAAATCCACACCCATCCGAACGTAACTCGCGGCGGAGATTTTACCAGGTAAACCCGATGGCGAACCGCGGCGGCAGCTCGCGAGGGCGCGAGCTCGAGGAGGCGGATGTCGCGCCGGGGCAAAGTTAAATTAAATCACGGGCGAAGGCAGCTAATATTGTAGTTTATCTGGCGGGACATTAGCGCGGTGAAATATGCGCCTCCTTCGCCCCGGCGAACTTAAAATCAAGATCTTAGACGAACTTCCCAGCACCCCTTTCCCTTCCAACCCCCCTCGCGAGACGCCGAGACGCCGACGTCGACGCCGGCGCGTCCTTCCTGCTAAGTCGCGCGTGAAAATACTAATTATTATACCGATTATTAATACGAAAAGTTGCCGGCGCTAAGTCGGCAAGCACGAGGAGAGTCGTGGCAGAGTTTCGCGGGGTGGCCGGAGGGAGGGTCGCGCGAGCATCCGGATTACGCTTCGCGCTTACGCTCGGTTACGAGGAGGAAAAGTGGACCTCGACCGAGGCTAAGAGCGCATCGCGCAGCGACAGATAATGAGTTTGCTAGCGTAAATGTGAAAATATAGAACGTAACCGTATTGTTATGCTGCATGTTTCGTCGAGACTCAGTTTATATGTTACGATCGTAGACTTCGGTATATAAGAGACTTCACGTTTTCATTGAAAACGTAAGGGTAACATTAGTAATTAAGAGACAGCTAGACAGGGTGTTTACTGCAATCTTGGTAAAAAAAATTCCCTGAGAGTTTCCAAGTATTTTTAGTCAAAATTATAAATAAATTTAGAAAATTGTTTAACCCCTTCAGATCCAGCGCACATTGTAATGTACATCAAATTTGAAGACACTATCCATTGAAATTATTTAATTCTGTTGACATCTAAGATCTGATGTATATAATAATATACATGTTGAAAAAAATAGTCAAAATTTTGAAAAAAATTAATTGTTTAGTATGAATTATTTATTAAAAAACGCATGAATTATTTATTTAAATTATTTATTTAAATACGTATGAATTATTTATTTAAATAATGAACTGAATTAAAAAAAATTTTTAACGTATTCTAATAAAGTCAGGTCTGAAAGGATTAATACATTTGAAATAAAGTAGTTGCTTATTTAAAATATTTTGCCTACATATCATTTTTAAAACAACTATGTACTTTCTTTACACTAATTGATTCATTTTATTATTCTGTCCTTGAAAATATTAAGATATGATTATGAAAAAATTAAGTGTTTACGAGATATTTATAAATATTTCATGTCAATATGATGTGCCAGAATAAAATATAAAATATTTTGTAAACTATTGATTTTTGATATCTCTACCTTAAGATTTTTATATGCATAATTATTATAGACAAGTCATATTCTATAAAAAAAACTATATCATTCCATTTAAAAATATAAAGGTTACCTTGAAATCTTGGAACTACGTCCACCTAGAAAAGGTCGGCGACATCAAAAGATCTCCCCCTCGAAAGTAAGCTTGAAACATTTTTTGGAATAACAAATAGTTTGAGAGATAATTCCTTCAAATAAAACATCCTGTATATAACATATCAGTGAGCCGTTCACACACATATATATATATATATGTATATACTCTACTCTATTTTCTACTAAGTTATTATCTTCCATTGTCTATTCACTCAAATTTTTAAAAATAAAAACTCGCACACAAGACACACATTTCTTTTATTAAAAAAAAAAGATTAAAGAAATAATGTTTTCAGAAAAAGACAGAATTTAAATTTATAAAAGTAAAATTTCAAAAATTTCCCTCAGTCCCGATAAAATTCCAGGAAAATTGATTTTTAAGGATAACAAAGAAAGAAAAATTTTCCTAAAAATCCCAGGTTTTCCAGGTAGTAATCTTGATGAGAAGACAATAATTGGTTTGATGTTTTCCTTGGTCAATTGTGCAATGTGACGGAAAGAAGCAATAGACCACACATATCTCTGTCTTTCGTGTATTAGCTTCAGCTACCACATATGAAAATGCATAGTCTATTATATAAGTCTAAGTCTATTGTTAGATCTCGTGGAAATTCGCGCGCGATGATCTTTGTATCCACGGGCAAAGGACGTGCTCTTTTGTGGTGAACACATAGTCGAAAGGAGTCCCTGGATAGCGCAATTCGCAAGGTTAAGCCGCGAAATGGCGGAAGAAAAGCGCGCGATGCAAGGGGATACTCGCAACGACGACGATGACGATGACGATGACGACGACGACGACGACGACGACGAGGAAGAGGCTCTGCTTAGCATAAAAATGGCCAATTACCCGGCTAACAAGCGACGGTCGAGCGACACGAAGATAGAGAGCTGTTGGGCGATGAAACTGGCTAACTCCGTTAGCACCTCTCCGCTTGCCGAAGCAGATTAGTTAGCGTAAATGCCGCCGGTTGACGCATTTTTATTCCTGATTACCGCTTCTCGCCGCGCTAATTCTATTCGCTCTGGCGACATTCGGGAAAACTCGACTTCACAACTGGCAACAAATTGTCATCCTCGAAAAAGGACGAGGAAAGGAAGGAAGAGGAAGAAATGGCTGTATGGCAAACTGTTGAAGGATGCCAAATATTATCTCACTGATCAGACTTTCGGATGCTTTCTTAAACTTTAGACTTTAAACAATTGTTATTTAATTTATAAAATTCTCAAAATGCCGCTACCGTTTTTTGTGCCTGAAGTTTTACATTCTTTGAATAACTGCGATCTTCTGTTCAAATGTTATAAGATAAGGTCTATTCTTTTCAGCTGAACTTACCTCATGAGAGCCATCTTTCCTCTTTTTTTTCTACATTAGAGAAAAAAGAAAAAATGAATGGTGCGAGAAGTTCAGCTGAAAAGAACAGATCTTATAACATTTCGCGACAGAAAAGTGCAGTTATTTAATGGAATTAAAACTTCAGGAACAAAAAATGGTAGCGGTATTTCGAGAATTTTATAAATTAAATCGAACAGAATAACAACTATTTAAAGTCTAAAGTCTAAGGAAGCATCTGAAAATCTGATCAGTGAGATAATATTTGACATCCTTCAACAGTTTGGTGAGGAAAATGAGATTCTTATCGTGCGAAAGAAAATTTGTTTGAAAGAAATTGTTACAATACAACCGTGATTTCCAGGCCAATTCTTTCGTGAATAATCGCGGGGAGAATGAGTTTGTCCGCGTTCACTTTGGATTCTTTTGCGCGAAGGAATACGCTACGCAAAGAAGTTTCTTGCGAAACGGCAAAAGGAGGAGCATGTCTTCGGGGCTGTCGCGATTACCTCAGGCGCAATTTCGTGGCGTTATAACGACAGGCAGCGACAACTCGCGCACGCGAAATTACGAGAACTTGACAAGAAACACGTCGCGATTCCGCCATGATGTAATCTCATAATCTGAGCGCGTTGATATTAAATCCAAGAGTTGTCGCAAGTTGCGACAAATCCTAATTGTTAATTTTCAAAATATGACAAACAGAAATTCTTTGCGGTGAAGGACATATTTATAATTCTATCTGTCTTTCAACAGACATACTTCTTTCTTTTCATCGTTTAGTAAAACTGTACAACTTAAACCATAAAACTTTAACACAAAACACTTGGGCCCATTTTTATCAATGCAGATTAATTTTAATCTCAGTTTAATTTATTCTTTTTATCTTTCTAATTCTGTTAATACTAAAAGAAGATAAAAGTAAGTTAAACTTTTAAAATTAATCTACTGATAGAAATGGACATTATCCAATCATCACTGGTTTCACAACTTAACGATTAGATATTTTTATATAATTTATATTGATTTAGAAAAGATAGATATATTTGTACAGAAATATCTAATCGTTAGGTCACCTAACGAACGATGATCGGACCAATAACAATCGCAAATAATGTCCATTTCTACCAATGTGAATTATTTTTAATCACAATTTATTTTTTTAAATTTACTTTTCATTTTCTAGTTCTAAGAATAAGGCCCGGTTCTATCAATGTATAAGATTAATTTTAATCTCGGTTTCAACTTACTCTCGTCTTTTTCCAATATTAAAATTGGAAAAAATGAGGAGTAAGTTCAATCGAGATTAAAATTAATTTTATATTTGTGAACCGGGTCTAACAGATTAAAGTTAAGCTTAACAAAATGGAACTTCCATTTCTACAATTGCAAATTAATCTTAATATCGATTTAATTTATTCTTTTTCTTTTTTTAGGCCCCGTTCCACTGTAAGATTAAATTTAATTTCAAGTTCAATTTACTGTTTATCTTTTTTTTTAATTCTATAAAGAGTTAGATCAGAAAAAAATAAACAACAAGTTAAACCGAGATTAAAGTTAATCTTACATTAGTGAAACTGACAATGAGCGTAAGTTATATGACTTTACCAAATGATGAAAAAAATCTTATATCTTCGACGTATCATTAGGCAAACATAAGGTTTACTCGCTCGCACTCAAAATCTTTAATTTTTTCACTCAAAATCTTCACTTTTTCTCTTTTTCAATGCCTGAATATATATTTATCTCGTTTTAGATAGCAAACGTTTTTGGAGATTTCAAGCTACGCGAACAAACTTACCTAGATAAACTTATATGACTATCAGGATATGTGAAAATTAATTTATTAAAAATTTAGAACATGTTTTATGATCACTTATGACATTATAAAAGCAAAAAAATTTACATTAAGATAACTATAAAATTAATATCATGCAATGATTAAATATTTTGTCATAGTGTTGTAACAACACATGTATAAAAAGTTATTTTCAGATTTGTAATATTTTTACGATGTCACTATGTGAAGCATTTATATCATATGTAATTAAATGCAATATATTATATAATAATACACTTTTGCAATCATTATGTGATGTCATAGAGAGAGAGAGAGAGAGAGAGAGAGTAAGCATAAATGATTTGTAAAATTTTTTTTATTTTAAACCGTATAAAGTAAAATAAATTTACTGTAAAATTTAGGTGAACAGATGTCGATTTTTGATGTACTGAATCTTGTTTAATGCGCGCAAAACAGCTTTTTTATGTCTAAAATCTATGCAATGACAAAGATATCGACACCGTCGTAAGAGTTGCAGAATTGGGGTTTGATATCGCATATCCGTTTTCAAAAATATACGTGGATAAATGTACGTATTTCAAGTATGATATGTGATGTAAATATGAGGATAAAAAATATTAAATTTTTTGTTTCTCATAATTACATCTTGACATAAATTCGTATTTCATTTATTCTATACTTAATACAAAATAAATATTATAAATATGTCCCATCTTTCAATAAATAAATTTATATCTTACGTGTATTCTCTTAATTTTATTCGTATTTCTATTTCGTTTTCTTATTTACTAAATACAATTGCAATATTTCGAATCACAATCAGCTCATTCATTAC